CGAGGCGAACAGTGAACCGGTCCTCTTCCGGTTGGTTCAGGGTAGGATCAGGGTGAGCGGCTGCGTCGGCTTCAGGAACAACTTCTTCCTCTTCAGCAGCCTCCGCCTGCCTTCGCGCAATCTCCTCCCTAACCCAAGTATCATAGGGTCCGGGCCGCGGCTCATTCGCCTCTTCGGCCAGAATGGCAAGATCAGAATATTTGAAGGCGAGTTCCCAGGCGGTGAAGTCCGCCTCCGGGTGGATGAGGGAAAACGCCCGTCGCATCCGGTTTGCACAATCATGCTCATTCTCCTCAATGAGCCTGTCCTGCTCCGCCTCCAAGGTGGCCTTGAAGTTCTTATTGGCAGCAGCCGCCTCTTTAATCAGGCGCTCATTCTCTTTGGCAAGGCGGCCATTTTCAGTCTCCGCCTTGCTCAGCCGTTGGAGGGGCTCTTTCTGTTTCTCCAACTTATCATTGGCGTCATCCAGGGACGCCTGCAGTTGGTCAACTTGGTTTTTCAGTTGATCAATCTGCTGTTGGAGGGCCTTGGTCTTCTCCGCCTGTTCCATGCGTATAGATTTAGTTTCTAAGCCATGCATGTACAAAGAGTATTCAGCAACACTATGGGCGTCATCAACAGCCCGTTTGCTTCTCCTTACCTCTTCAGACTTGCGGGTATAAGCTCGTTTGAGCCCCTCTACGCGCAGCATAGCCTGCAAAAATACAGCCGGTTAATACTGCATATTCAACAAATGCATGTCAAGATAATTACCGAATGGTTGTTGGAGCATACGTCGGCCAGGTCGACCAGCACCCGGTCGGCATTAAAGGAGTTGATCCCAGGGATCGCCTCCTTCTCGTCCCTGGGGACGGCTCTCAGCATGGCCCGGGCGTATTGTGCCCCGTCCGGCCAGCGGGGAGAATTATCTGCACTAGAAACAGACGGTGAGAAAGTCGCATATGCTCTGCCTATAGATTGCCGGCTGATTGGAGAATCCCCCGGCTGAGATCGAGGCTGTGAATAAGACTTGACCCGCATGGGCAAGTCAAGCAGTGTAAGGTTGAAGTTACCTTGGTGGCTCGAACGGCCTTCAGATGGACCGGTTGCGGTCCTCAATGGGATGGCAGAAAGCACATCCGCAGCTCCAGGCCCGCCTGGGACCTTTATTGATTCGCCGCCGGTAGTTGGCCGGTCGGCTGTCTTCTGCACCTTGGATGCAGATTCTTGTTGGGTCGGCGGTGGCCTGACCTGTTTTTGAAGGGACCGGGGCATTTGCTTCCCGTCCTGAAAACGAGAAAATATAAGTTATGGAATAATGAGAAATTGAAGTCAATAAGAAGGACCAGGCGGTTATACCTTCCTCGCCGCCTGGGCAGCAAGTTTTTTCTCGAGATTGGCTTTCCGGATGTCGGAAGCCTTCCTAGCCGGTGTCATCTTGCTGGACAACATTTTCTTGGCTTCTTCTGCAAAGGCAGGCACTCGGTTAGAATAATAAACAAGGAAATAAAAGCATCCGATTCGAAAGAAACCGGCTGAGTTCCGAATACATACGTTTTTTGAACATGCTGCTTAGACCACAAGCGGACAAGAAGCATTCGTCCCTAAAAAATTCATGTTTGGGCACCCAGTTTCTAGGTACCCTTATTATCTCTCCGGATGAGAGGGTGTCAGGAACTAATTCAAAAAACCCGGAGTCAAGGATGATCTCTCTATCATCCTCCGGGACAGGGGGCAGGCGGCACTTGGTTCCCAAGAGTTCTGGTTTCCGGTTGTAGATCCGGAATTCTCTGTTCTCTGCCGTAGTTGGGGCCTTAACCAAGTAGAACCGGTGCTTCCAGTCCGACCATTTGGATGGCTTGTCCAAGGTCATAAGGTATTTGGGCTGGGTGGTCAAGGTATACCAGGCTCTCCAGCCGCCTGGGCTCCTACTCAAGTAATGCATGTGGGCAAACGCCTCCCAGCCGGGGTTGAGGCCCTGCATCTCGCAGGCGGCGATATACCCTAAAATATTTACTTATGAGTTGGGGGTTAATTGCCAGAGACCTAGGCCATACCCCCTAAGTATGGCTTTTATTGTGTTGTGGAGAGGGAAGCGGACTCCGGCCAAGAAGGCCGCCTCGTAGCACCCGAACCAAGCGTTCGCGTTCGGTTGTTCATCCTCCCACCATATTTTTCCCAGAGCAGATGGGATTTTTATTGTGTAGTCACCCCCCAGCGGCCGCCGTTTGATAAAATTTGGCAGCGCAGCTCGCATGAGGTCGCGGTCCTTAGAGGAGACGACGATCATGAGAGGATCGTTCCTATTATCCCAAGAAGGCCTCTCCGCCTCCTCGCTATCCTCAGATTCGGTTAAGTAGCTGCTACTGCTACTTTGAACGCGACCGGCATCAGAGCCGGCTGGGGAGTTGGAGACCTCCTTATCAGAGCCTGCTTGCTCTCTTGTCTCATTAAGGGGAGCAGTCTCCTCATTTAAAATGCTATCACCCGGGGTGCTAGGAGTGCCCCCGGGTGAGCCTCTCTGCTCTACCTCTCCTTGCTCTACTTCTCCGCCTGAAGCTTGGACCTCAGGCGGCTGCTCATCTGAGCTCCCACTTCTGTAGTTGGGATCTCTGGCAGTAGACCGGATTCTGGCCATTGTGTCCTGCACAGACACAGAGTCGGTCGATATGGGTGTTGAAAAAGGGTTGTCCCAAAGAACAGAGGCGACAGACCCAGTTCTAGACTCAGCCGTACTAATAAACCGGCTGAGTTCACAGCTAGGTTCCGGGTATGGGTATAAGGGGTCCATCTACTTATGGGACCAATGAATAAAAATGCGAGTAAAAGACTCAAACGGAAATATATGAAAAAGCTAGAAAGAATAGAGACGGTACCTAGAAGAAAATCTGGAAATTCTTTGGGATGCTTGCGAAGACGCAGGCGGTTCAAAATCCGGCTGGGTTTCTCTGATTACCCTCGCGAAAACCTTTAGCTAGCTTGCAACGACCCAGACGGTCTGTAGACCAGTTGCTCTCAACAAATTTCAACTCCGAATGCTCTCAACTCTTAAATTGCCGGCTGCTCTCAAATTTTCAGAAATTTTGCAAAGTTTGTAAATGAGAGCTCGGGGGGCATCTTCTCCTGCTTATAGGATTTGTCCCGGAGGGTGAAGAGTCGTGACTCTTCGCCTTCTGCTTTTCCATCCTTCAAAAAAGAATCTGAAGAGCTAAAAAAAAAAAAAAAAAAAAAAAAAAAAAAAAAACCATTCACCGGCGCCACGTGGCACCCTGCCACGTCAGCACCAGTGAGGGGCAAATGTTTGGGGTAAAAATACCCTAAACACGTGGCCCAATGGCCTAGTGACGCGTGGCACCCAGCCGTTGGTCAGCAGGGTTCCAATCCTCTGCTGACACGTGTCCTCTAAACCCTAAAAGGGGAACCATCCCTTCCCCACTATAAATAGTGGAAGGACCCTCATTAATGGGCATCTGAACATTTATTGCTTACATTGAATACTCCTCAAAAAAAACAAACACCTACCCCGAGCAATATTAATTGCGGAATTCTCCCATTACGCGAGAAGTAACTTCAACAATACGTGCATTCTACCTCCCGTATCTTTACTAACTTGATCGTCGGAGGCGGAGCTCCTACCCCCAGGAGTCTTCGTGATTTTGCAGGCACAGGCGTCGAAAGGCATTCTTGGAATTGTAACTCTCCCGCAGGACACATCAAAAAACCCCGAAACACACATCACTTATAGCATTCCCATTTACGAAATAATTAAGTATGGTAATAATAAGTTGAACATATAACTGATCAAGGGCATCTCACCCGAGAGCCAAAGCTGTTCATATACAAACAAATCATGTTATAAAATTTTAAGAATTTTTTTTAAAAAAAACCCTTAAAATACAATATTTAGATATATTTTTTGACAATTGTAATTACATACGCAGTCTACAAGACATTTTCACACACTCGTCATCTTCAATGCATGGCTGTAAGTGAGGTGACTATATAAAGTCAAATTCTAGCGCTTTATCATGTATTAGAGATAAACCTTATATTAACGAGAATATGGAAAGTAGACGAGAAAGAGGTGACAAACCTTTTCTATCTGAACAACTCTCGTTTAATATTAACCATCAAGCACTAAGAATCAACCGGATTAAATGCTCCACTAGGTTAACCGATCAAAGTTTCAAAAGACGAAACTCAAGAGCCGATCAAACCTCATTTATATCACTTACCCTCTTAGACTCTCACTCCACAAAACAAAAGTCTAAGTATGACTTTAATTAGTTGAACATATAACTAATCAAAGGAATCTCACACTGGAGCTTAAATTGTTCATATATAATCAAATTAGGCCATTAAAAAAAAAAGATTAAAAATACAGTATTTATATATAATTGACATTTGTAAATACATACGCACTCTATAAGCCATTTTTTACACACCCTTCATCTTCAATGCATGATTGTAAGTGAGGTGATGATATAAAGTCAAATTATAGCGCTATATCGTTCACAGGATATAAGCAATACAAGTATATTACAAAGAATAAAGAAAGTAGACGAGAAAGAGGTGACAAACTTTTTCTATCTATAAACTAGTCTCATTGAACAATAAGAATCAAACAGTAAGAATCAACTAGAGTGAATGCTCCACTAAGTTAACCGTTCAAAGCTTTAAAATATGAAATTCAAGAGCCGATCAAACCTCATTTACATCACCTACCCTCTAACACTCTCACCTCACAAAACAAAAGTCAAACGTATTAGGTTAAGCCCGATCCAAATCACCCATTACTGACCCACACAACCAAGGACTGGGCTTCAAGTTCTAGGCCTTCAACAAACCACTTTACACAACTGGATTCAGCTATCATCATCCAGCCTGAGCAATATCAATATTTACAGATTTCTTTGATATTTTTCTGATTTATTTCCATGTATTTGATGATTTATTCTATCCTTAAGATTCTGAAAAAAAAAAAAAAAAATAACAAGGACGAGTGAGCGTAAAGTTTTTATATATATATATACACTTATAAATAAAAAAAAAATATTAAAAAATAATTTAAAAAAAAAACAGAAAAAAAAAACGCCTCCTTCGACGTTCTAATCTCCCCAACCTCTCTTTCTCTCTCCTATAAACACCATAACTATATACATACAGACTCAACAACAAAACTGAGCTCTGTTGTTTAACCCCTAAAAACATCACTTTTTTTTTTTTTTTTTTTTTTAGTTTTATTCAAAAAATTTGTTCTTTTTCTGCTTTAAAACCCTTAAAAATTCACCCCCATTTTACTATTCTATTCCATTGGAGGTTAATTTTCAGATAATCAACCACTTCTACAGAACTTTATACCATTAGAGGTAATTTAATTTTCTGGGTTTTATTCTAATTTATGTTTTATGCTGTTTGTAATTATTTTTTTGCATGGATTTTGATAATGGGATCTTGTAGCTTTTTTAAATAGCTTTTTTTTTGGGTGAATTTTAATTTTTGGGTTGATGAATTGTGGGTTTTTTTTGGGAATTCAAAAAGGTCATTGTTTGATTTTTCAGGAGAATGCAATTATGGTATATGGTAATTCAAGGTCTTGGAGCCGCAGAAGAGAGTTTTTAGTTTCTGAGTATTGTGCTTCTTGTTGACCTTAATGGCAAATCCAGGAATCAAAGGTTTGATTTTTGTATTTTTATTTGCATTCAAATTTAGATTTGTGTGTTGGAGACGGGGAGTCGGTTTTTATTGATTGAGACTTAATTTCATGATTTTGTTACCATGTTATCTTGTTTGATTTTGTAATGTACATTGTCTTGTTCAACTTAACTAATGGTTGAGTGGAGAAAATGAAATTTTTAATTTATTATAGCGCCCTTAGTTTCACAATCATGGCCTATTTGAAATCCTGTAGTCCTTTATACTGTCTACTAGTTTCGTTTTTGGTATGGATTGTGCATGCTCGATTGCTGTGATGAACTGTATTGGTCCACTGATTTAGATTACCTTTGAATCAATTTGTTTAATCAAGTCTTGTACGGGCTTTAGATTTTCGTAACACTCCACTTGAGGTCACTATGGATAGAGCTGTGCCATTGTATATTATGTTGAGATTTCTAGATGGATTTGCTATTGAGCCTTAAGTATAGGTGAGTAGATTCAGTATAATCTCTTAGTCGGTTTTCCATATTAGTGTATCAAAGGTTTGATGTTTGTTTTTGTATCTGCATTTACAGTTAGATTTGTGTTGGAGACGGTGAGTCGCCTTTATTGATTGAGACTTAATTTTGTGATTTTGTTTCCTTGTTATCTTGTTCTTCGTTTTTGTAATGTACATTGTCTTGTTCAACTTAATTGATGGTTGAGTGGAGAAACTAAATTTTAATATATTATAGCGCCTTTAGGATCACAATCATGGCCTATTTGAAATCCTGTAGTCTTTGGTACTGTCTACTAGTTTCGTTTTTGGTACGGATTGTGGATGCTCGATTGCTGTGATAATCTATATTGGTCCACTGATTTAGGTTACCTTTGAATCAATTTGTTTAATCAAGTCTTGTATGGGCTTTAGATTTTTGGAATACACTCCTTGAGGTGACTGTGGATAGAGCTGTGCCATTGTATATTACATTGAGATTTTTAGATGGATTTGCTATTGAGCGTTAGGGATAGATAAGTAGATTCAGTGTAATCTCTTACTCGGTCCAAAAAATATTACTTCCATATTCGTGTATCAAAGGATTGATGTTTGTATCTGTAGCTGCATTTACATTTAGATTTGTGTGTTGGAGACAGTGAGTTGGTTTTATTGATTGAGACTAATTTCATGATTATGTTTCCATGTTATCTTGTTAAGTTTTTGTAATGTACATTGTTTTGTAAAACTTTGGACTCGTTTGGCATTGCTGTGGTTTTCTGTTTTTTTGTTTTTCAAAATCACATGATAGATGTCATATAATGAATAAAAAATTAATTAAATTTATTTAAGTCATGATAATTTTGAAAACTGACAACAAAAAGGTGGAAACATTTTTTTTTCTTGTTTCATGTTATTGGTTTTTAGTTTTTAGAAAAACAAAAAACTGAAAACAAAAAACGATGCCAAACAAGCCCTAGTTAATGGTTGAGTGGAGAATCTATATTTTTTATTTGGTAATACCACCTTTAGGTTTACAATCATGGCCTATTTGAAAGCTTGTAGTCCTTGATACTGTTACCAATTTTGTATTTTGTACCGATTGTGCATAGTAGTCCACTGATTTAAAGTTTTGGGGAAACAATTTGTTTAAACAAGTTTGTATGGGGTTTAGATATTTGGAATACGCTCCTTGAGGTCACTATGGGTAGAGCTGTGCCGTTGTCTATTACATTGAGATTTTTTGATAAATGTGCTATTGAGCATTTAGGATAGTTGAGTAGAACCAGTGTAATCTCTTAGTCGGTCCAAAAATTAGTGTACTTCCATATCAGGTCAAAGTGGGAGTTCAGGTTGAGCGCTTTAATCTTGTTCCTCCACCTCTTTGTGGTACTTATTAATATCAATGTTCTCAAATTCTTGCCGACCTTGCTCTTCGTTCCACTTGTACTTTTATCATGATGAAAATATTCTTAATGTAGAGCTATCAGCCATCCTGGTGAAGCCCATAATCATACTGATATTGTGCACTCTAACAGTGGTGGTCTCTTTTGCCATTTCGTTGTACTGTTTTGGATGTCATCCCCCCCTCCCGATACTTTTGTGATTATTTACTTTTGCATTGCTGTTGGTTGGTAGCACATGTGCCAATAAGCTTAAAGCTTAGTAAGTCTTTAATTGGCAAACACTCACAACTGTGTGCCATGGGTTGATTTCTGGTTGTAATATCTGTTCTTGGTGTGCTTTAGGGTCTCCTGAGATTTAGATTGTTCACTCTGCCTTTATGTGTGTGTGTGTGTGACTGTGTGGGAGGGGGGTGTTAGCTTCCAACTTTACACTTCACTCTAAATCATCAAGGCCCACCCCTTTTGCGGAACCTCATTTAGATTGCACCATACGTGCCCATATGCATGAACCCATGTAAGATAAGTATAAGGAGCTCTTGAAATGTTTGTAAAAACCAAGGTTTAGCTGTTAGTGAAAGGCATGCTTCTTACTTTTCAGTAATTCAAGCAAATTAAAGCAGGACTGTTGGGCTCTTTGCCTTTTGGTCTTGTTCAGGTAAACTTTTCTAGAAGTGTTCAATTTGATGAATCTCTTTGGGATCATTTGTTTTGTTGATCTTTACTTCGCTTTTGAGAGCTTGCAAATCCCTGTTAATATGCCCCGTCCTTGCACTACAATGCATCGGATCTTTCTACCATGAAGGCATGAAGGTTAATGATCTTCTCAATAACTTAACATTCTTTTGGAATGAAAGGGCTTTATTTTTATTTATTCAGATTACAGTGGTAAATTTTAGTAGGATAATCATTGAGGATATTTAAAATGTTTACTAAAATACTTTGTTAAATTCTTTGAGGATATCATAGTGTTCCTGTGATTTGTCAAGACTTTGCAATTTTTAATATGTGTATGGCTGAGAATGTCGCATTTGCAATTATTGTCCAATGTCAAGACTCAAGTAGACCTTTTATCACTGCCTACATGCTACTATAATACTTATGATTAGAGGACATGCAGGCCATAAATTTAATAAGCACGAACAATTTAGTATATGTATTGTAGTTGAGGGAGATAATTGAAGCTGGTCATATTATGTCTCATTTATCCTGGTAAGAAATCGAAGATTGTTAATCCTTTATGCACTTCTCTATTCTTTGGTTGGGACTTGGGTTTGAGAAGGGGTTTTTCTAGATGATGCTTATAATTATAGCCTAAGACATCAGAGTTTTGGTCTGTTCAAATCTTGCATTTTTATTCTTCAGTTAGTTTTATCTGGATTAGCTCGTGCATAAAATTTATATGTTAACAACGTTATTTCCTTAATCATCTTTAAAAGTTAAGTTTTGAAGTGGTTACATGTGCTTGTCTGCTTCTGTTCAGGAAATATGGCTCTTGAGAAACACATCCCTGCTAGAAATCTGACTGCTAATGTGAAACCTTTGAGTTTCCCCCTTAAAGTCCGGGAAAAAGCAGCTCTTGCAGATCCAGAGACGAACACTGATTTGGAGGCTGACATTGATGTTGATCTCAGAGAAATTTATTTCCTTATCATGCATTTCTTGTCTGATGGGCCATGTCAAAGAACTTGTGGACAATTTTGGAACGAGCTTCTTGAGAATGACCTACTACCTAGAAGATACCATGCTTGGTATTCTAGGAGTGGGATTCCTAGTGGTGATGAAAATGATGACGGCTTGTCATTTCCATTGAGTTACAATAAACTAAAGGAGCGGTATGTTTCATGTGTATTTTCTCGATCAAAAGATTCAATACAGATGATCTCTCAGCGAAGATATGCTGTAACTATATCACTGTACCATTCGATTATGAGATTTCTCTCACTGGGTTGTTTTTCTTTCTGTAGGTATGCTCATATCGGAAAGAATCACTTAATAAAGCTTCTGAGGCAGCTATTACTTAATAAAGCCAATCCACATGGTATTGTTGCAAGGAATGTACCAAATGCAGCTGATGTTCCTACACTTTTGGGGGCTGGATCATTTTCACTCTTGGCCAGTATGTTCATGTATCTGCACATCTATATTTTTGTTAGTATTCCTTTGAATGATTTATTGTTTGTTTAGGAGATGCAATTCCATTGTTACAAGTGTAGATGCTCTGATGAACCTTGTATATATATCTGAAAAATACAGCAAACTTACGATTAAGAGTAATAACTTTATTTTCCCCCACATTTCCTTGCAGATGATGGGATCAAAGGAGACAATGAGATTGAACCACCGCCTGTTTTCATGCGTTGGCCTCATATGCAAGCTGATCAGGTGCGTGGGCTGAGGTTGAGAGAAATTGGTGGTGGATTTGCGAGACACCATAGAGCACCATCTACACGTGCAGCCTGTTATACTATTGTAAAACCATCCACTATGGTGCAAAAGATGCAAAATGTAAAGAAAATAAGGGGACACCGTGATGCTGTTTATTGTGGTAAGCTGTTTCTCCATTTAATCCTTGTCCTGAGTCTAGCTTTTACTGAGAGCAGATTTATCCCTTTTATTTGAATTTTCAATGTTTTTGGTAGGGTAGAAAATACTTCCTCCGTTCCACAAATATTGCAACAGTTACCATTTTATGAAGTTTTACAAATATTGCACCATTTCCCTATTTACACATGTTTTCTCTCTTTCTCCTCCCCACATGGGTCCCTATCTGTATTCCTCTCTATCTCTCTCCTCTTCTTAAAATCTGTGTCCTTCCCCTATGTTGCAATATAAGGGGAAGTGGGGAACGGAGGAAATGTTATTATAATTTTTATAGTCTATTTGATGTCTAAATTTGTGGTAGTTATAAGCATGAATACATCAAAGAATATAGGGGAAAGCCTGGCTCTTTTCTTGGTTTAATCTATTAGTTTTTCTCTTTGTACTCTTCTCATTTCATGATTAATGTTAGTTAAATGCTGGTAAAGTAATTTTCAATTTGGCTACTAGTATGATGAGTAGTTTGTAATGTTGTGTGAGATCAAGAGAAACCGATACCACATTTCTATCTGAGATATAGTTGATGTATCCTTTATTCCACATTTTCTTTGCTTGTCATGCTATTTATTGTGCTATGACTGCTATCCACTTTGAAGATCTGATCTTTCAGATTCTTTTAGTCTCTTAGTGGTTTAGTTTACTTCACCCACTGATTGTCCAATATGCTTGATGCTAATTAGGCTTGTGATATGGCTTCATATATTAATCAGAATTTTTTACAATTTTGGCTAACATTGAAGTTCACATATCTTGCTTTAATTTTTCATATAAAGAATCTCTGAAATACCACCAACAACTAAGTCATAGTCCCAACGTGATTTGAGATCAATCGTAATAAAAAATTGTCTTTGAAAAATGAAACAAGAAAGTAAAGAGAATCTCTGATGTACCAGGCTCACATATCTTGCTTCAACTTGTGAGATACCAAACTTTTTGTATTGTGGCTTTACATACCACTTAAATTTGTGAATCTCAAGTTTTTGTTACCCCAGTCACTAAATTCTTTTCCTTTAAAGATTTTTATAGGGTTTGGGGAAGGGTTATGAAACTTCCATTTTAGTCAAAGGAGTAATTGCTAATAAAGCATTGGATATTATTGCTTTGATATTGTTCTGCTGGTACTTTTTTTTTTTTTTTTTGAATTGTTATTAATGCACAAGGATTTTTATACAAAGCATTGGCTTTTGCAATTTATGCAACAGAGGGGTACCCCGACGGTATCCATAGCATAAGACTCAGAAAGTCAACTTTTTCTGGAATCAAATTCAATAAGAAAGCCTAATTCGAGAAAACTTATAGTAATTTTATGTATTTCTTTCCAACCACAACATCCACAAAATTGCCATACAAGCAGATTGTCGTAGTTTTTTTTTTCCTTCCCGTGTGGCCTCCAATCCAGTATAACATGTAATTGTTCCATAATAAAAACTGTACAAATCCACACCAACCATATAATTTTAATGGAAACAAACAAACATGGCTTCCAGTCTCTCCACCACAATAAGTTTAACGCAAATGACTTCAATTCTGATGGATTTATTTGGCTTTCAAATCTTCTACTTTGTGTATTTAGTCTTTACAAAACAGCTGTAAATTTGCTAAGTTATTGAGATTATTTAAGTACTTATATCTGATATTTTGTACTACCCAATTCCAGTTAAGGTTTTGACCCATATTTACTCTATTTCAATTTTCATCAACACCTTTTACCATCTTACCCCTCGTTACCCCAAACTGTATCTACCTTTTCCATCTCTCTTACTTTATCGGCTTTTTCAGACACTGACCAACCTTATTTCTTTTCTCTCTTGATTTATCCAACTTTTTTTCACATCCACTCACTTTTTTAATAATTTTTTTTTGTTTGCGATTATGTATTGAGTAGAATAAACAAAAAATTATGGAGCTTTTATTTTTAGTTGTCAAGGAGTAATCTCTCTTTTTTTTTTTTTTTTTTTTGGCAGCTGTATGTGACCGCTCGGGAAGGTTTGTCATAACAGGTTCAGATGATCGCCTTGTGAAGATTTGGTCCATGGAAACTGCTTATATCTTGGCCAGCTGCCGTGGGCATGAAGTGCGCTTTGATGCTTTCAATTATTTTAATGATTTTCAGACAGTTGATTTTTTATTCTTATTTTGTTTCTTATTTACACTTGCTATTATCTAAGGGTGACATCACTGACTTGGCTGTGAGTTCCAACAATGCTTTGGTGGCATCTGCTTCAAATGATTGTATTATTAGAACTGTGAGTGTCTGGTTCTCATGCAACTCTGATATTACAACCATTGTCTCTTGTCTCCTCGTATAGAGTACCTTAATCTGTTCATTGTGGTTTACATGACAGTGGCGTTTGCCAGATGGGCAGCCAATTTCTGTTCTGCGAGGGCATACAGGAGCAGTTACTGCCATTGCCTTTAGCCCAAGGCCTAGTGCTATATATCAGCTTCTATCGTAAGGATTGTCCTGCTTCAAATTTTCTTGTCCTGTTCTTACATCATATATTGCTAGATGTTCTTAACTTTAAAGACTAGTTCTTTTAAACCTTGTGCTGTGTGAGCTAGGAGATATTGGTATTACATTATTTACTTTTTTTTCATTGAATCATTTACTTTTGTAGATGTATCTCATTTCTTGTTCAACGTTATGTGTCAATTGTGTTTTCTTTATCCGCTTTTTTTTGGTGAATGGAATGTGCCTATTCTGCCTAATGTGCTTTACACATAAAGTTTCTGGTGAATAAAAGCTTCACATGCTACATTAAGGGGTAAATATTACCGCATTAATTATTTTGCAAGTTACTGATGACTTAAGCTTGTTACCTATGTAGCAAGCTAGCAAAATATTGGTCTTCCCTTGTCCTTATTAATGTTATATTGCAACTTGTTTTGTTCTGTCTCATGGTGATGTTAGAATATATCTAATATACTAGACTTATGTAGTTATGTTCGATTTTAGTTATCATATCACTTTTCAAATTGCACTATCAATGTGACAACTAATTCACATAGAGAGTTGCTGTCTCCAATTTCTCAGCTAGCCATTTGCTTGATTTTCTCATGTGTTATGATTCATACACTGTATTTTCTGGTCTGTAGATCAGCTGATGATGGAACATGTAGACTATGGGATGCAAGGTACTCGCAGTTCAAGCCACGTATTTATCTTCCCAAACCTCCTGATGCAGGTTGACTTTTACTTCATTTGCAGCCGGTTGTTTGTTATTATGTATTTATTAATAATTTTTTAATAAATTAGTAGAGTGATTTACTGAAGCTGGAAAATGTTGTAGGAAAAAGCACTGCTGCTTCATCCATCGCTGGTGAACAGAATCATCAGATCTTTTGTTGTGCATTCAATGCTAACGGGACTGTCTTTGTGACTGGTAGCTCAGATAATCTTGCAAGGGTACGTTCTATTATGCCCGAGGTTTAGTTTATCCAAATTGAAACTGTTTCATGTTGATTTTATGAAGGATATGTATTGAACTTAATCTATATTTCACCTTAGTTAGCTGTGGCTAGCGGAAGGCTTTTATGAGATGCCACCCTTCCTCTACGCCCCCCCCCCCCCCCCCCCCCCCCCCCCCCCCCCCCCCCCCCCCCCCCCGCCCCTCTTTTCTGTAGTTTAACTGTATAGTAAAATGTGAATGAATGACTAAGAAGGAGGTGGAAGAAGGGAAAAGGAAAGGGGGCAGGGGATATACTTCAGAATAATGATAGCTTCCTTGATTGTCGCTCATTACGTGGGTCTATAAAGGGTGGAAGGGCTATCTCTTATTGGTGGGTTAAGTCTTGCCTGGTCACTTTTCCCCTTTCTTCTTTCTTGTATTTGTTTTTTTTTTTTTTTTTTTTTTTTTTAAGTCCTTGAGGAGGTGCTTTCTTCAACCAAATCAGGAATTAGGTGTGGGAAACTGGTAATGGAATAAAAAAAACTTGAACCTGCTGTTTGGTACAAAATTTTGCACCCGAATTCCATATTTTCAACCCTTTTAAAACTTATACCTTAATCCCAAGGAAGAGCAGAGGGATGCCCACAACCTGCACCAATACCAAACACCACAACTGTACTTACCAGCGCCAGTACCATCCCTATAAACTATAATCACTTCTGACTCTCTTCCCCCCCCCCCCTCCCCTCACCTCCCAACATTGCAATCAAGAGTTACAGATTATATTTTCCCGACCAAACAACTGGAATCAGTTTGAGGTTTGATAGCCAGCCCGATACCTGATACTAGTGCCAAAACCAAACAGGGCATACATTTTCGGAAATTTCCTGCACCTTAGCACAAGTACCTCGCATAGTGTATTTAAACCATTGTACCGTTTCTTCTCCCATTTGTCTTCAATAGAGGTCACCCTCACGTTATCTATAACGCTTTGCTTTTGAAACTGCGTGATATTGAGTTATGTACTGCACTTGAATAAATTCTAGTAATGAAATCAATTTTGTTTTCCTGCAGGTCTGGAATGCTTGTAAATCCACTACCGACAATTCAGAACAACCTATCAGTGAGATGGATGTTCTCTCTGGCCATGAAAATGATGTTAATTATGTGCAATTTAGGTCAGTTCACTTCAAATTACTGTAGCTATAGGGTGGTTTGTCTCTGTAGTAGCTGGGTGCTGATAAGAGATGGGAGCTTCAACATTTCTTACAGCCAGGATTGGGGTGGGTGGGGGTTGGGGGGAGTTTAACCAACTTTTAAGCTCATGGTTGGGGTGGCTACTTTGGCTTTAGCCTGAAAGAACCCAGAATTATATAAATGAATGTTGATATGCTAATTATGTCTTGCATGCACTTTATTGGGTAGTGTTCAGAGTTCTATTTTCTAGTTGAGATTGACTAAACTTGTTATGTTTTTGCGAAACAGAGGTTTCCCTTTTTATTCAGATTGTCCCTTGACATGATTGGATGCTGATAAGTTGTGCTTTTCTACAGTGGTTGTGCTGTGACTCCTCGATTCTCTGCTACGGATACAACCAAGGAAGATAGTTTTCCCAAATTCAAAAATACATGGTACTTAAACTGTTAACCATCTATTTGTTTCCCGGTTTTTCGCGTGTACAGTGTGGTTGATTTCAGTGAAAGTTTTTTGCTTTGTGACAAATACATCTCCCAAATTTGGCAGGTTTTCTCATGATAATATAGTTACCTGTTCTCGTGATGGTAGTGCAATTATCTGGATTCCAAGGTCACGCAAATCACATGTGAGCTATGGCTGGAAATCATTCTTTTTATTAGGTGATTGGATTAATTCCTCACTGAGAACATGTTTTCCTGTCAGGCAAGAGCTGGGCGTTGGACTCGGGCATATCATCTCAAGGTTCCTCCTCCACCCATGCTTCCACAGCCTCCACGAGGGGGTCCAAGACAGAGAGTTCAGCCTACGCCTCGTGGTGTTAATATGATTGTGTGGAGTCTAGATAATCGATTTGTCCTTGCTGCTATCATGGGTAAGTTGATGAAATTTTTTGTTCAGTTAAATTTCTTAAAAAGGTGCTTTAAGAGCATAAATGTTTTGTAACTGCTTCAGGTGATCTTCTGTTTGATTTACCATAAGGTGGTATTTAGATATTTTATTAAACTGCCTTTTTAATTCACTGTACATGTAGGTATTTGCTTCGGTTTAGCCGTCATGTCGAATGGGGTATTAGAAGGATTGTGTTGCCCATCTTTTCTAGGAGAACCAATTTAAAGATGTAATATCAAGTTAATAAATAGATGTGGATCCCCGTTCAATGCTTTTATCTATTTCGATTATCAAATACTTTCTCTAGCTCACAGTATTTGTCATTTTAGAGCTTTGCACATAAACTAAGGAAAGCAAAGTGAGAGTATACATACTTAGTATTTGATTAAGCAATTGATGTATTTTTCTAATCTAAATAAATTTATTGAAATAATGATAAGATTAGTTATGAGATTCAGGAGAAAAAGGGGGAGGAGGATAAGTTGGACATGGCTTTTTGTGGATTACATTGCTAGATCAAACTAGTAGAATTTACCCAGTGTAGATACATAACTAAGTTAATTTTAAGAAAATTCCTGCCCTATCAACTTCCAACAGTATTTTTGGTCATATCTTCATGGGGCACTTATGTTTGGAATTGTGTATACAAATATCAGGGGTTTTATGTGGTACTTTTATTTTCACAGCCTATTCCATGATGGCCATTCATTAAGGGAAGTGTATTGAGAGTTTTACACTTATATTGAAATAGGAATTTCTTGTTTGTAGTGTGTTATACATCAATTCTGAGTGTAAACAAGGCACATGGCTAGTATGTGTTTTTCTAGGGCTTGAGCTTGTTTTGTTGAGTGATGTCTCTGTTGGTTGAATCTATGGCTGATGGTGCTAGTTAGAAATTTTAAAGCATCTTTTATTGGATTTGCTTATTGAATTTGCTTGTTCTACACTACAACAACAACAACAAAGCCTTGTTCTAAACTGTAGATAAAAATTTTCTATGGTGCTATTATGTTAGTGGGACTGGTTTTGTCTCTTGACCTTATCTATATTACTATGTCTGCCTTTTTCTCATGACAGATTGCAGAATATGTGTTTGGAATGCTTCTGATGGTAGCTTGGTTCATTCATTGACGGGTCATACCGAGTCGGTAAGTTGTGGTTTTCCTTCCAGAATTCCAGATTGCATTGCACTAATTATCAGATTTGGATGAGCGGTTTTGTTATCTGTTAATTTGTCTCTTCTTCCTCCCCTCCCCCTGCACCGATCAATGGTTCTGGAAGGGGTAATGTGCATCAGACTGAGATAATCAGTGGTACCATTGCATGTTATACTCCTCTTTGCTGTCCCAGTGGCTGTCCATGTTGCCCTTCTTGCAAATATTTGTAAAGTTACTAATGTATGCCTGAGTATTGTGACATACACTCCTGCTCTTTAATATGCATTCTCATCTTGATGTTTCATACCTGAATAGCAGTAGGAAAGGTTAGCCGAACAAGAATTTGGGAATTTGGAGTTTAGTTAAATATGAGACCACATTCCAGCCTTTCAATTCATGTGCTGTAACATTGACTATGACAACTTTCAGTTTCTAATTTGTGTATCAAAGAGAGTGCCTAAGTGCTAATACTTGCCTAAGGTACTGCAAGGCTCACAGAGTGATTGCCTCTTTGGACCTTGAGGCCCTTGAGACAGAAGAGGTGACCATATATCTATTGGTATTTTATAAAAAGGATATCATGTGTTTTAGTGTTTCTTTTTTTTTGTTTTTTTAAATCCTGATATATTTCCTCTTGTTTCCTATAAATCGCAACAACTTGAATCACATTTGTTGGCACGCAACTTTGGCCATTATTATCTTTAATTTTTTGATATTTCAAAATTATATAAAGTTGAATCATTGAAAAATATACATTTTTTCATAATGATCATAGTACTCGCACTTTATTCCACTTTTGGCACACTCATTTCACCACCTTAATTTTTTTTTTTTTGTGCTAATAGTAAACATTGAGAACATTATGTAAGGGTGAATCTATCTTCAATTTCCTCGTGCATTGTAAATTGTCTATCATGTAGTTGTACCAATACCTTGTTTATTTCACTTGTCTGAGATTTTATGATTGTGTGACATGGAAAAGTGTTTGTCCTGTATGTTTCTAATAGACATATGTCCTGGATGTTCACCCTTTCAACCCTCGCATAGCTATGAGTGCTGGATATGATGGGAAAACCATAATTTGGGATGTAAGTTTCAGTGAACTTTCCTTATATACATTCCACCAGACTTGTGTGCTTAGTCTTACTAGTACCGTTTTATTGCAGATATGGGAAGGAAAGCCCATTCGAATATATGACACTGGACGGTTTAAATTGGTTGATGGAAAGTTCTCAATGTAAGTGGTCATGTTGGCTTTCGTCTGTTCTTTTTCTTGTGCCACAGTGCTTAACTGCTTGTTACTGCATTTATTGTCATATGGAGATGCATGTGCCAGCTCATCTGAATGTCCTTTGTTAGTTTGTGTTTTCTCATATATATTTCTCTCTCTCTCTTTTATTTCTTTAAATAGGGATGGGACCTCAATTGTACTTTCAGATGATGTTGGTCAACTTTATTTTTTAAGCACTGGTCAAGGCGAGTCACAAATGGATGCGAAATATGATCAGGTACTAAGAGAAATTACTCATTTCCTTATATTTTTATCCTGTGTAAGAGAAAGTACCTTTTTTTAATATCTTATAATTGCAAAATTTGCAGTTCTTTCTCGGGGATTATCGTCCACTTATCCGAGATACTAATGGAAACGTTATTGATCAGGTTAGTTTGTAATATCCATAAGGCTTCCATAATTCTTTATGAATGATTATAATTCTCATTTTATAAAAATATAGTTTCTTAAAATAATAGTTTGCTGTTGTGAGCTGTGGCTGTACTGGCGTTATGTTTAGGAGTATTCATGTTGTTCATATGCCTCTGTGGATATGTGTTTTTGAATTATTGATCTCTCTTGGTGCAGGAAACTCAACTTCCTCCTTATCGAAGGAACATGCAAGACCTTCTTTGTGATTCAAGTTTGTCTTTGTTCCCATCACTTTATTTCAAGTGGTTAAGTAAATATTACTTTGTATTCAACATTATTGATTTTTGAGATTTATTTTCTAGGCATGATACCATACCCAGATCCCTACCAAAGCATGTATCAGCGAAGACGGCTTGGAACTCTGGGCATTGAGTGGCGCCCGTCTTCTGTACAGTTTTCTGTGGGTCCAGACTTCAGTTCAGGCCAAGACCATATGATACCCCTGCCAGATTTTGATGTATTAATTGATCCACTGCCAGATTTTGTGGATGTCATGGATTGGGAGCCAGAAGTAGTAGTTAGTGATGATACTGACTCTGAGTTTAATGTTACGGATTCCTTTGGCGGCAATGGAGGACATATTAGCTCAGCATCATCCGGTGATTTGGAATGCAGTGAAGAAGACACTGATGCTGATTGCATTCACAGAGATAGTGTTCGTAGATCAAGGAGGAGAAAGAAAAAGAGAGAAGTACATTTTCTTATATGTTTTTTTTTTTTTTTTCACAAAAATAATCTTACTCCGTAGTTCTCAATGACACACTTATCTTTTTACCTACATAATATTATGTCTATTCATGTGTGTACATTTTTTTGTTTTGCAGACAGAGATAACTACTTCTTCAGGGAGGCGTGTTAAAAGAAGAAATCTGGATAAGTGTGATGGTAGTACCCACAGAACCGACCCAAGCAGGAAATCAAGAAATGGGCGAAAATGGTCCAAGAAGAAGTCATTAAAGGCTTCAAGACCCCAAAGAGCTGCTGCTCGAAATGCTCTTAACTTGTTTTCCAAAATCAAAGGTACTACCCCAGATCTTGATGAAGTTGTATATGACTCTGAAGGTGATACATCAGACAGTGAATCTGTACTTGAATATTCTAACTTTGAGGGTGAGGAATCTGATAAGTTTAGCCCAGATGAGAGAGCAAAGAATCTGAAGGGGAAAGAAGTAATGGTTGATGATTCTGAGGGTACATCTAGATCTAAAGTGTTCCCTGGAACTCACGAGAGTGCTGGGAACAGGAATAAATTAGTTCTAAAACTTCCAGTTCGTGATCCAAATCGAGTTCTATTTGCAGGTAATTCTATCCCGACCTCTGGAAATCAGATAGAATTGGCAGGCTTTTCATCTTCAGCATCAGGTGGTCCTTTAGAAGTTGGAAAAGATTCAACCCAACAGGACATGAATTACTTACATGGCAGTGCAAACCTCCGTAGATATGATAGACTGGGTTGGCTAGGTGGATTAGGCAATGATGCCATAAAATGGGGTGTGGTCAGAGCTCGTACTTGTAACAGAATTAAATTGAAAGGAGCTTCTGTATTGGTTGCTTCTGGGTCTAGTTCTTTCAATGACAACCAAAATGAAACTGATAAGGAGCTTGGGGCAGATCTAAAATCTGTAGTTGAGCGAAGTGATGATAATGTCAAGTTGCAGGAAATTGCACAGCATAATCATGAGCATTTAGGGAATCCTAATGGGTTAACTGATGGAAATATTATAGAGCTGTCTGATTTCAATAGATCCCTGGCTTCTAATGGAGTGCAGGATGAAGTTCATATGGCTACTGGGAATGGAGCTCCGTGCTCAAATAGCAGTGATGCAAACAATGTGTCTACATTGTTGAGTATTGCAGAAAAGAAGGCTGCATCAGATTCAAACAATACTTATGAGATGAAAGCTATACCCAATGAAGGGGATGAAAAGAATGGTACGATTCTTGTGGAGCAAAGATCTGGTGCTGAAGAGCTTGAAGAGGAAAACCCCCACATTAAAGATGGTTTGGATGGTAATGGAGAACAAATTTTGGATGGAGATAAAGCAAATGCTAGCTCTGCATTGCTAAATTCACAGGCTTCACATTCACAGAAGACTGATAAGATGTACAGTGCTGTTTACAGAAGGTCAAGGTCCTTCAAGGCAGTGAGGACATCTTCAGATAGCAATGTTGTTCATGTTGGTGAAAATACCTCAAATGCAAGCTGTCAAAGTCTGAATGGAAGTGCTGATACAAATGGTATTATGGTTAATGGCATTAACCAGGCCCAATCTGTGGAGCTTAGGGACCCAGTTGAAGAGCAGTTAACGAGATCGGTAGAGAGGTCAAGAAGAATTGAGGATTCTGCATCGAACAAGGTTGATCGGCGTCCTCGAGAAGAGTGGGGATCTAGTACGACTGTGGGACTGAGGTCCACAAGAAATAGGAGAATTAATTTTATTCGTGATGCTAGTCTAACGGATAGGAGGAAGTCAAGTCAGTCACAAAGAAAATTATCCTGGTTGATGCTTTCTGTTCCTGATTGTTCTCGATATATTCCTCAGCAGGGAGATGAGGTTGCATATATGAGGCAGGTAATGATTTGGTATCTGGATTTTCTAAAGGTTATATTTGTCTAAATCCACCGTACTGTACCTTCCCCTCCTCCCCCTCTTTTCTTTATTTTTTATTTTTTTCAAAAGTTAAATTTGTCTTGTTAGGATGAATCTGCTCTTCTATATTGTCAAATGAGATTGTTGAATAAGGGATACTATGACTTTTCTTACTATAGATGTTTGTAGGAGGGTACATTGGTAGTTGTTATGTATAGAGAATTGACTAAAGCCAGATATTCTTTCTGATTACTCTCCATCTTTTGTTGATGTTCTTGTAGGGGCATAAGGAATATATATCTTGTAATAGCTCTTCTGTGAGAGGACCTTGGGAATATTTGAAAGGAGAGATCAGAGCTGTGGAGCTCTGCAAAGTTATTGAGCTAGAGTATTCTGTTGTTCCAGGCTCGGGTGATAGCTGCTGTAAAATGACACTTGAATTTATAGATCCATATTCTAGTGTCTTAGGCAAGAAATTTAAGCTGACATTACCAGAAGTTTCAGATTTTCCGGATTTTCTTGTTGAGAGAACAAGGTACGAGACTGCTATTGAGAGAAACTGGACTAAGAGAGACAAATGTCAGGTTTGGTGGAAAAATGAAGGTGATGGGGATGGTAGTTGGTGGGAAGGTCGAGTTCATGATGTGAAGGCTAAATCCCTTGATTTTCCTGATAGTCCCTGGGAAAGATATATCATTCGATACAAAAGTGATCCAACCGAAATACATGAACATAGTCCTTGGGAACTTTATGATGCTGGCGACACTCACTGGGAGCAGCCTCATCTTGATGACCACACCACAAAAATACTGCTGTCATTTATTGCTAAACTAGTGCAGTCAGGAAATAAAGCTCAGGTAGTGACAGTAGATAACTCTGGGGTTGATTTGATAATATATCAGTTTTTTTGGATTTCTACTTCTTGGAAATTGACCTATTTTTTTCATAAAACTTTTCAGGATATTTACGGGGTTCAGAAATTGCAGCAGGTTTCTGGGAAGTCAAATTTCTTGAATAGGTGAAGTACACATGAATGCTAATTTGTTTTTCTGCATGATGTCTTCTTTTCTTATTGTTACATTGAAAAAAATTTCTAAGGGAACCCTGATTTTTGCCTCAACAAGTATGTGAATTGCAATAGATTATGATATGTCAACATCCATGTTTTTTCTTGGGAAAAGATCCTTTTAATTCAACTGGAATGACCTGAATTGAGCAAAAATTGAGACTTGAGAGATTGTTTTCCCTAACTATTTTTATGTACCATGAAAGTAGTACATAGTAGTTTTACTCAACCAATGGAGTGGTCAATTAGAGAGATCGGAAAGGAGTCGAAGCTAAATACATGATGAGCCATTGCTCTAATAAGCCCAAACACCGATTTCTGCAAGCTCTTTCCTTGTGTCTACTGCCCACTGAGATTCTGACTTTTGTTAAATTTGACACAATCATGTTTTTGTAAATATGCAGGTTTCCAGTGCCATTATCTCTGGAAGTGATCCAGTCGAGGCTAGAAAATAATTATTACCGAAGCTTGGAGGCAGTGAATCATGACATAAATGTTATGCTGTCAAATGCAGAGAGTTATTTTGGGAAAAATGCAGAGCTTTCGAAGAAGATTAGACGGTTATCAGAATGGTTTGCAAAGAAGTTATCATCATTGTAGCATTAGGGATCTCTCCTAATACAATTTTGTAGAGGAATATTCAGTTTATTACAAATTTTTAAGTATCAAACATTCTGTTTTTCATTTTTTTTTTTATTTTTTTTATTTGTTTTATTATTCTGTTTTTTCATTGTAGATATGTAGCAATTCATAACCCTCAATTAGGCGCCCCACCAAAGAGTTAGTTTCTCAGTGGGACATTCTTTTTAGCTTAGGAAATAGAGAAACAGGTAGGTTGCAATTACTGCCAAATCTGTATATACATACTACAGCTTAGAAAATGAAAATTAATCTTAGTTTTTCTGGCGAAATGTATTCATGTTCTTTGAAAAAAGCTGGAATGCAACTCTTGATTTTGCCAAGATCAGATGTGGCTGTTGAAGCTCTAAAGTGGAATGTAAGGGCTGATGACTGGTCCAAGACCGGACCAGACCAAACACCGGAATTTTGAAATTCAAGAATCGGAGACCAGACCGAACCGGTTTGGAACGGTTTTTGATTTTTTCTATATATTTTATAGTTTTTACTACAAAGTATGATATTATGGAAAATAGAAAATATAAATCCAATTCTGCATTTTAAAAAGTTTGTGACAACTCTTATGAATATTGTTTAGACAATTATACTCTTTAAAATATTTAACTCATTTGTCTTCATTAATGTTTATTGCCTATTTTTTTTGAATTCTTAATAATGGATTGACAACATTTATACCCTTAAAGATATGTTTACATATTTATCCTTATTAAATCGATTAACAATTAATTTGTGACGTAAGGCTAAATTGAAAGAGCTCTCCAAATATGACATTACGCGCGTTAACCACCTATAAGGAAAATGATTATTAAATGTTTATTTTGATCGTCTAAAATGAAATAACTCACAATATAAAGATATTTGTAGCATATTGAATATAAAATGAATCATTTAAAAGGTTTATTCATAATATTAAAAAAAAAAAAAAAAAAAAAAACACTGATCCAATCCAAGACTAGTTTTTTAAATTTCTTGATCCAGAGAATGAACCGGTTCCTTCGGTCCAGTCCATCTATATGGTCCGAACTGCTTTTTGAACAGCCCTCAATGTGTAAAACGAGGTGGTCATAAAGCTAGACACGATGAAAGAACGAAACCATAATCCCATTTTATAGTATGCCCCCTTTTAACACATTTGTAGAGTCAAGGCCTCCTTTACCCTTAAACTATAAACCAGATTGTGTAACTAAACCACAAATGTTAGTCCTGCTGTTGGTTTTAGAATATACACGATATCAGGAACAGCTGGTAAGAGCAGATTCATTAGCATAAAGTTGGGACGATCAATCTCTCCAGCGATGACCACAGCTTGGATTGCAGCAGACAAAGAACAACGTCATACCTTCCTCTCCTCTAGATGTTGCCTGAACAGTAAATCCCATGTGAATTGAATTAGAAAATTAACTTGGTTGTCAAAAAAAAAAAAAAGAAGAAGAAAATTAACTCAAATCAACCACTGAAAGGTTGTTCATAGTAAATTGTAATCTTAGAACAGCAAGCTGTAATAAATAACTTCAGAAGTATAGCAATATAAAACTGAACAACTGTTCATTGAAATGTCATACATTTTTTTTTCTACTAATATCTCATGTCCTAAATTAGATCTAATTCTGCAAAAGCATGAAATAATCTAATATATCATTGTAAAAGTGGTGAACCAGGCAAAAACATACCCCCCCCCCCCCCCCCCTCTCCCTTTTCCATGGTGCCACAGCTCCACCCTGCCCTACCTGACATGGATATCTAAACTTTGCAGGGACAGAATGATCTGATCAGTAAGCACTTACACGAATCTAGCAATATCTCGGAGATTTGCAAGATTCAGAATATTGTTGTCTTGATTCAGTAAAGATGCTATAAGTATCACAAGAACATAGTGGCAAAGAGAATTTAGTTGGTAGCAACAACCTAGAAACATAATGTCGTAGCAACTCTTGCAAAATGGCAATCACAATAGGCTTAGTCATAGCAAGTTTTTTATTAAATAGTTTAGCTCCCCTTCTCCTTTTCCCCGTCTAGTGCTGAATTTAGATTTTAGAGTGATAAAATGAATAAATTACTGCATTGTGAGTTCCATAGTAAGGTGCTCAAGATAGCAGCCAAAGATATTGTAGGTGAAAGGAGTCCACCCACAAACTCATGTGCTTACAAGGATTACAACCAAAACTTAAAGTTCACCTGGAAAAATACAGCCTCTCCATGATTGCATTGAGTACAACGGACTGACTTCGTACGGGGAAGAGTTGGATCTGCAGCTACATCTTGTAAGACCTGAGTACGTTCACCAACAGCATGATGTATCTCATTTCTGTATACGCAATTGTTATCAGCAACCTCCTACATGAAAGATAAAGATCATAGGTAAGTTAGCAAGCAGCCAAAGTAAAGAGTTCGCAAAGCAGCTATGTGAAAATTACAGATTCAGAAAGCAGTTTGAATGCTGCAAATAGACATTTCACCCTGCTATACTAGATTCAGTCATTGGGTAATACGGTAATTCACAGCGAAAAACCAGTCACCAGTACATAATTTCAAAGGCGACTAGTACAAAAGGACAAAATGATGAGCTCTTTACTGCTAACGCAAAAAAGGAAAAAAAAATAAAAATTAAAGGCTAAAAGAAGCACCAAAAGAGCTCCATCCTCACATCCCCCTCCCCCAACAGAAAGGCCGAAAATAAAGCAAACAGAGCACTGTTCACCTTTTTGAAAGAAGTGCAGAAGTTTGCGACATGTATCAGGAATCTCAGGACATAATCTAATCAGAACTTCTGACTAACCCAAAGTAATAAATGATTATAACGATAAAATCTTATATCATAAACAGAGACTTGGCTTCTATTAACAATATTAAGAGACTTTACTAATGTTTCATCGTAGTAACACAGACTTTGAAGTTCAAAAAATTAGAAGTCACAGTTGAAGATATAATGAATCACATACACTAAGAGGAAATAGAAACACTGAAAATGAATAAGTATAAGACCATGATTGCACAATCAATTCCATTTATATCCACAAGATAATGTATAGAACCAATACCACTGCTATGCAACACTCCTACAACAAGAAAAGGGTGTGGATATTGCCAAGGCAAAAAATCCACATCCAAGGCCAAATTATCTACCCCTACCCAATATTTATGAGAATCTATATACATCAAACTTAGAAATTCAATGAAATATTTTGCAATCTTTTGATAATCTTTTGTAATATTCTATTAACTATAATTTTAGTAGCTAAATATTCCAATTAAAATCATTCCAACTAATTATTCTGGTCAAAATCCGCCATTAATTATTAACTTTTGGTGTAAGAAGACTAACACCCAGCAAGTCTAATACTATTATTTATGTAGGATATATACTTTCATAATCACTCTTAAAATCTAACTTTTGGGCATTCTAAAAGATTGGTTTCAAAACATTTTTTAGTAGACAAAGGTTTTAAAACAGCTATACTGTTTAGGAAAAATTACTTTAAATAATCAAACTTTTGCCCCATTCTCCCAAAATAAACCAACCTTTGGATTATTCCGGAATAAACCAACCTTTATATCCCATCTTCCCATATCAACCCAGCACGTCACCAAGCCGATATAGCCGGTTGCCATGTCTACATGTCATTTTCTTATTGGTTTATTTTTTAATTTACAATTTTTTATTTTATTTTTTTTAAAAAAAGCCCACCCCACTTCTTTCTCTCTCCTCTCTCCTCTCTCTTTCTCCATGACCACCTCCTTCAATACCACCATACTTCCCCTCCCACTTACTCGCCAACAACATCACTACAACCCACAACAACCACCACAAAACCTGCCCCAAATCCCCACCTTCCTCCATTTCCGTCACCCCACCACAAACCCGGCCGAAATCCCCATCCACCTTCATTTTCGTCACCCTCGAACGCTTTGACCACCATCAACGCCAAAATTAGCCACCGCATAGGCACATACTCCCTTTAACCACCACCAACACCAAAAAAAACCACTAATCGATCTTTCTTTATCAAAAAACCACCACTTGCAATTGAAGCCGCAACATTCTCCATTAAAACCACCACCTTGTCCACCGTGAATTCGCTACCGCCCAAAAAAAAAACGTTTACCTCCATCCTTAAAGCCACCTAAATGACAGAGAAAGAGAAAGAGAGAAACTAGTGCTTGATTTAAGGAGGCTAACAATTCCCCTACACTTCTGAAAGGAAGAACAGAAAGCGGAATGGGGATTGATGGAGGTGCGGTTGGCGTGGGGGAGGACAGAGAAAGAAGAGAGAGGGGCAAATTTTTTTAATTCTTGAAATTAGAACTAAAAAATAATTTTGAAGGTGGTCATGGAGGAAGGATGAAGGAGGTGGTCATGGGGGTGGATCTTTGGGTAGTGGTAACGGAGGAAGATGGTGGGATGGAGGAGAAAGAAAGGGATGACCGATTGTTTAGGTAACCGGTCATTTGGGTTCATTATGGGAAGAAGGGGTATAAAGGTTGGATTATTATGGAATAATCCAAAAGGTTGGTTTATTTTGGGAGAGTGGGGCAAAGGTTGGGTTATTTAAAGTAATTTTTCCTATTGTTTATATATTTTTTTGGCAGATTATTGGTAAACATAATGTTCAAAAAATTTAGTTAGTTGTAGTATTTAGCTTTTGATATTAATTATTGGCAAAAGCAAAAAAGATTATTAAAAGATTACAAAATATTTTATTGAAGCAATATATTTGACATATATAGATTCTCATATATGGTAGATAATTTGGCCTTGGAAGTGAATTTTTATGCCTGGGCAATATCAGCACCCCAAGAAAATTAACCACATTACTCAAAGGAAAGGTGTTCCCTCTCAACCGCCTTTCAATTCCTATAATATGCAAATTGGCCATCTTCATTCATACTATGAAGCACTAGTCCATATTTTTTCTTGACAATATTTAATACAATCCTCATCTCAAGTTGGTTAAGTATTGCCGCCATCGATGCAAATTTAAAGTTATAGTACAGCTTCCTACATCCAAATCCCTCACTCTTTTCGTAATCGAAACCAATGTCATAATGCCAAACTATAAACCCAGTTAATATGACTATAAGATCAAAAATCTTATAGCACAAAAATTTCAGCTTTTATCATTTAATGTAAAACCCAACAATGTTTCAAAATTCAACTACTCGATATTACAAATTAATGTAAGAACAATTAAGAATCAACAAATTCCTGACTACAAAACCCTAATTAGTAAACTTAAAACTGTAATTAAGAAAGCTAGCAAACAGAAAAGGAGAGAGAATTGAAAACCTGGTGATCGCAATTTCGGCAAGCGTAAAGGAGAATCTTGTGATCTTTGTCCTCCTTTGGGTACAGAATATTGTTGCTGTTCATTCACGCACAAACACAAACAATAAAAAATTAGAAAAAAATAGAAATTTATCAATATTAAAGCAAGAAAATTGTTGAATTAATTGATTAAATTTAATTGCAGAAGAAGAAGATGAGAAGATCACTGACCATTCGCGGCAAAATTTCATAGTACTCATCTTGGATAATGTATTAAGCTCGAATAAAATCAATTGGGGAAAATTTGGAGAAAGAATTTTCGGAAAATCAGATATCGGAGAAAAAGAATTGGATGCCCTAATTTTGCGTTTTCTTACTCTTGTTCTTCAGTCTTCACTAGCAGCGGAGCTACGGAGCTGAGGTTTTAGAGTTTAGTAGCCCGGAAATTAGTTACGAGTTTTGTTGGGATTTAACAGTTAATTAAACTTAAAAGCCTTATAGTTACTCCGCGTATACTACCTCCGTTTTTTTAATTGACACGTTTCAACTTTACCACTTTTCACACACTTTCTTTTAAGTGTGTTTTGTAATCTATAGTCATGTGGAAATGTAAAATCTTGTTAGATTCTTTATAGTACATATTTTCAAAACAACTTTTTATAATTTTGTTTATCAATAATTAAAGATATTAATGGTTGAATTTATGCATGACAAACGCGACTAAAGTAGTAAAGTCCACTAAATTACTAAAAAGAAATGGAGGAAGTACTTGGTTTCTACCCATGTGATACTTGGTTTCTACCCATGTGATGTACGAATATACTACGTATATATTTTTTTTTATGTATTATTAAAGTTATAAATCAATCTTATTCAAATGGATAATGAAACTTGTATTGTTGGCCTGAAAAATTATAATTATGGAGATTATAGACTAAATTGTCGCAATTTAATCAATTTGATGTACTAACGTATGATTATAGATGTGTCAAAATCTGACCCGATCTGAAAAAATATCCGATTTAGGTTTCGATTCGCATGAACACAATAATTTAACATGACTCAAGTTTGAAATTAAGTTTGAAATTAGACCCGACTGACCTCACCAAACCCGAACCGAACATCCGAATTGACACCAATTGGCATAAAAGGTTTATCGAGCATAAATGGCATTGAAATTGTGAAAAACTATATTTAGAGAGAAAAAAAAAAGGTAAGAGAGTCTCCTCTCTCCAAATGGATGGATGGAAAAGGAAGAAAAAAAAAAAAATATATATATATATATATATAAACAAAAAAATTGGAATCCTTTCAATTTATAAAACCAATGTATTTAAAAATGTTTGGATGCAAATGAAACCCTCATGCACAAGAGATTTAGTCAGCCAGGATCATGTATTACCAATCGTTGAACTTACAACTAAACATTGCTAAATTGTGAAAACACCAAAATTAAATCTGATGTAGGTTTCCAAAAATACAATTTAGAATGATTAGAATCATGAACAGGTCAGCAGATACATCAGCATAAAGAGGTGGCAATCAATCTCTCCATTTATGACTACAGGTCGGATTGCAGCAGACAAAGAACAATGTCATACCTTCCTCTCCTCTCAGTGTTTCCTGGATAATTGCCCCAAATGAGATGGATTAGAAACATATAGTGAAATTCATCATGGTATAACTGAAAGTAGTATAAATTGTATTCAGAGAAAAGCCAGTCCCAGGTTAAGAAGTATGACACATAAGAATCTCATGTCCTTATTGAAACCTAAATGTCCATGATGAGCATGAAAGAATTTGAGATATTATCGTTGATAAGTGATAGGACAACTTCCACACTACAATCTGCCAATCCCCCTGCCTCTCCTTTTTCCAAAAAGAAGTAGAAAGAGAAGAGCTAAAAGAACTTGCATGATTCTTTCAGTGTCTCAGAGAAAGACCAACAAAATTCAGAAAACTGACGTGTTGAGTCAGTAAGATGCTATATGTATCATACAAATGGCGTCAAGAGAATTTAATTGGTAACATCAATTTAGAGAGCAATATATCTTGTTAAGTGTTGCAAATTGCCAATCAAATTACAGGCTTGGTTGAATCTTATTAGCCCATGCTCATTTTTATAACATGTTTCCCCTTTTACAAATTCCCCCGGTCCCCCCAAGTTAGCACAGCATGTAGAACTTTGCATTTTACTAAGGAACCAAACCACAATATGAGGTCCAAATAATAAATTGATCGCCACATCATAAGATCCAAGAATTGCCACGATAAGAAAGTAAAAAATTGATCACTGCATCATAAGTTCCATAGTAAGGGTGGTCAAGGTAGCAAACAAACATGGTGCTTGGTCATAACAGCTGACATATCACATATCCTTTTAAGAAGAATAACCAAAATTTGAGGTTCACCTGGTAAAAGACAGCTTCTCCGTGATTGCATTGAGTACAACGGACAGACTTGGTCCGGGGAAGAGTTGGATCTTTAGCTACATCTTGTAGGGCCTGAGTACTCTCTCCAACAGAGTGATGTATCTCCTTTCTGTATACGCAAATGTTATCAGCAACCCCCTACATGGAAAACAAGGGTCATAAGTAAGTGAGCAAACTGGCAAAGAAAGGAGTTGGTTACGGATAAGAAAACATTAGCCATGCTTATAGCTTTTCATCCTCCTATCATCAAGTAATAAATAAATAAATAACCACCATAAGCGCCCTCCCCCAATGAAAAAAGGTTGACAATCAAGAATAACAGAGAAGGCCAGCTTCTAAATGAAGTGTGGATATGCAACACCAATAAAGCATTTTTATTAACTAGTAAATGCAATGAATGATCGTGCAAGAATAGAAACTTTTCTATCAATTCTTTATGAAAGCATCTAGGTTTATAATGAAACTAGAGACTGTCTTTCTCGAATTAAAAGTATGACACATTTTTAACCTTCCATCTTATAAAGCAATAAAAAGCACATACAGTAAATGAAACACCAAAATTACACAATTATAAGATAATGGACACAGAAGAAAAATCAATTTCATATAGAAAATAAAAATAAAAAAAACTAACCTTGAATGATGGCTCACTTGAAGCAATATGAGCACATACAGTATATTGAACAAGTCCAAGATCAAGGTCACATCAGAAAAAATCAATTCCATTTATATCCAAGAGATGGCAATAACACTACCATGCAACATTTCATCAACAAGAAATTTACTACAGGAAATTATAGTGAAGGTATTCCCTCCAATCGCCTTTCATGTCCTCTAACAATGCTAAAAACCAGGTTCCACAAGCAAAGAACACATCTTTAATAATTTAGAAAAAGAAAAAGAACACTATTACAAGTCACACTATGACACTAATAATATTGGTAATAGCCTAGTATTAGTAGATGGGTGATTTATCAACTCACTTACTTAATCGAAACAGGATTAAACAAACCCACCTACTATATCCTAACAGGTTGAAAACCTTATTCCAAACACGTAATATTCATGTCGGGTTGTAAAATCTTGTCATTCATGTGATTTAGTCACTTAACATACATTTATACAAGTTAAACAGGATCATACTAGGAAGCATAAAGAATTTGATTTATTTCTATATTATATAATTTCTATGATAAACTAGAAACTATCCTCTACTCATATCCTTATTGAAGTAGTACTACAGCCACGGCTCATCCATGCCATTTCAAGCAAGAGAAATACAAATTTCCAAATCCTACATCCAACTTGATTATTCTTCGAAGGCGAAAACAATGGTATGAACTTCCAATTCATAAAGCTAATCAATATTAATATAGTTCAAAATTCATAAATCTTCTTGCATGCAAAATTGAGCTTTTTAAAAAAGTTGCTGCAATACTAATACCCAATTGCATTGCCATTTATACATTCATAAGTACAGCAAAATTAAAACAACAGAAACCCAAATTAGTAAACCTAATAATTTAACCAAGAAAAGCTAACAATTAGTTCAAAAGGAGGAGAGAGAAAGTTGGGCGCAACCTCATGGTGGCAGTAGCGGCAAGCGTCAAGCAGAATCTTGTGATCCTTGTCCTCTTTTATGTACAGAATATTGTTGCTGTTAAATTACAAACACAGTTCAAAAAATAAACAATACCCCCACAAATTCCCACTAGAATTTAAGTAGAATTTAGCAAGAAATCTATTCAAATTGATGTTAAATTGTTACATTAGTAGCAATAAAGATGTGATCTTGACAGAAGAAAATGAGAAGAATACTAACCATTTACTGCAAAATTTCATGGTACTCATCTTGGAAAATGTGGTTAATTGGAAAATTTTGTAGCCCTAATTTTGAGTTTTCTCACTCTCTCTTCAGTCTTCACTGCTACCCACTAAGTCACTAGCAGCCTGAAGTGAGACAAGTGTGGGAAAAGTGGGGTTTTAAGTTGCTATTCGGAATTTAGAACTCAAATCAATTATTTAAGTGGGTGATACAAATGTTTTGTTTTAAAGCATAATGATTTGATTAAGAAAAATGGTTATTTAGTATCCATATGCTTTTGTATCGAATTAATGAAAAGGCTAGGATTACATTGGTGAGGTGAGTAACCGATAATATTGTGTTAACTTAGCAAGTCCTACTAAACAGAGGAGAGAGACCAAAATGTTGGAATCTTTTTATGTGCCGCTACAACCAACTCAAAATATTGGGAGGGAAAGCTGGGTAGCACAAATTTTGATCTTTTAGCAAGCGGAGTTGAGCGGGATAGTTTCCCTTGACCGCCAAACAATCAATGGTGAATTCCTCAATAATGATCTAGCATACAACGACAGCGATAGGAGGAAGTGGAGAGAAAGTCAGGATATTAGTTTTTGATGTAAAATATTAAGAATTACAACCGTTTTTCATTAATTAGGTAGTTAAAAGTATAGGTTGAATTTAAACTAAAAACGAGCACAACAATCTAACTTATAATTTTGTATTATTATTACTCGTACTATTATTTCTTTCTAAAATCTCTCTCAAACACCATCATCCTCTAACATAATGTGTTCTGCAAGAAATTGAAGATTAAAGGACTTCCCACATAGGAGAGCACCAGCATGCATGTCAATCAAGACACTTAAATATCTGGTGTTGAATACTTCTCCGGCTGTAATCCAATGATGCAACAAGTATTAAAAAAACATAAACCTAGGCGCGAAACTATCACTACATGGCTATCATCTATGTTCATATATTTGAGTATCCACAAAATGTTCTACGTACTCTAGCGGTGAACATAAACAACAACAAACTTAGGTTGCAAAACAATAGCAGAAGCCAATACTGCTACATCTAGAAAATCCCAGTAAGCATATTAGCAGCAGTAGCAATAGCTGCTCCAGTGATTGCAGATTGCACAACTTGCTCATGTGTTGTATCATCAGTCGTAAGTGCAAGAGTCATGCCTGTTATTGCTCCAGCTACAGCACTGTTTTTCTGTGTGAACATGAAAGAGAAACAGTTAAGATACTTGATACTTGATACATTATCTACGGAGTAATCCTCAAAAGATAACATCACCTGTCCAACTCCTAGTTAAGCTGAGTTGCACATGTACAGCTAGAAAACTAGAAAAGCATATCAGCAATTCAGCAAATGAGCTATTATATTGAGCATTAAGAAGCTACAATTGAAATACCTAGTACTACAATTATATTTCCGATAAGGAGGAGAAAACAAGAGTGTCGTGATTACCCAATCGTGATAACCACAAGCCTCATTCAGCCCATAAGTCAGACCAGAAAACACCCCTGCAGCCAACCCTGCAACGATGAAGCGTGTTTGTGAGCCACCAAAGTTGTTACAATAAAATGGCTCCAAAACTCATTTTACATAAAACCTTGAGTCTAATGAACAAAAAATCCATTGAAAATGATGTACTCCTAGAGTCCTAGACCCCTAGTACATTCACACTACTGCAGTACTGCACAAACAAATTGGAGTTGATCTTTACATGTTTTACATAGAGAATAAACTTACCCCACTGAAAAGTCTCTTTGCCTGTACTTTTTACCTGAAAAACATTATAACACAAATAATTAAATCAATCACTGTAATAAGGTAACTAGTTACGGATATATTTACGCCTGGCACGCACATTTGGCTAAGTCGATATATCAGCTAGAATGCCCATTGATGATAAGGTTATTAGCAAGAAAAAGAACATGAACAAACAGCATGCTTTGTTAATTAAGTTGCCACTCTTTAAGTCTGTATGTAATAACACCACAAGATTAAAAAAAAAAAAGATTCGAGAGCAATTACCAAAGCCTCAATTGACTTTCTGTTGGTCTCTCCTGCACAAGACGATTAACAACAATTAGTTTGTTTATTACTAGCTTACAAAGCTGCATTGCATCCGCCACTATCCACAACTACTTACGATAGAATATATGATTACCTCTAAGATCTGGAAATCTTTTCTTGGCACCATTACCATCTGTTGAATCAATTCCCACACCTGGTTCACAATTAATTCGTTAAGTTCGAGTTGAACAAGTACCAAATGTAGTCCACTTCTTATGCTAAATGGTGGCAAGAAGTTTCGGTGTCATAACTAGGCCAATTCAATTCAGCTAAGCACTCAAAGCATTCAACAAGAAAGCATGCCAGTATGTCAGAGAAGTTTTACCCTCAACCACAGTAAAATAAGCTTCACGAGACACAGCCTGAAGAGCTCCAATCTATACAAACCAATTTATGATTAGAAGTTTCATCAAAACAAAGAACCCAAGTGTGCATTAATTTGGACATAAAAAAAACAGTACCATTTCTTAAAATCTTAGAAAAAGGATGCACATGTTCTTAGCAACAATAAGATGACATTAACAATTCAATCATTCGTTACCAATATGTCTAGAATTAGTTCACATAAATGTCAACTTATCATGATATTAACAATAATTTACTAAATGTGTTTATTTGGTTAAAGTTTTTTTTTTTTTTTTTTTTTGTTGTTGTTGTACTGGCTTTTTAATTACTCATTATTTGACATTTTATTTGTTTAAGGCCAACACCCAAAAAGCCAAAATCATAATGTACACCCGAAAGTACATACAATCCTATGTAAAAGTACATACTTCAATTCATAAAAGAAGATTCAATAAAATTAACATAGAAATATAATACTATCAAAAAGAACTTTCACTAAACAAACAGAAAAACAATATTAATCGACAGCATAATACACGTCATGTTCCCGAAATATACAATCGGAGAAAACATACGTACCCCAGCAGCTTTAATAAAGCTATGGGCAATGCGGTTGAGAAGAGGATGTCCCAAATCAAAGTAACCTTCTTTCTCAAAGCTTCTCAACTCATCCATGACTGACATTTTCCCCAAATTATCAATACTACTATTAGCTGGTCTAGTAGTTGCTGTTACAGTTACACTACTCATTTTCTACTTGTTATTTTCTTTAATGTAATTCTTCTTTCAAAATTCACCGAATTTTGAAGGAATTGGTTGATGACAAATTCACAAACCTTGTGTGTCGTGTCATGGTCTGCATGTTACGTGGAATACGTGTAGGTTGATGAGAAATTGAAGATTGTGTAGTGTTGTACTACGTGGCAATACTTGGTCAATTTCGTGCCACCTTTCCAATTACCCCATCAAATTTTGTATTTTTCTTTCATAGATAACGTAACTCATTCTTGGAGATTATCTGTCATAGTGAAATAAACCATTGTAATGATCTTAATTCATTTTCTTATTGTAATTGAATCTGTTGTAATTGAACTATAAACTGACGTCCTTGCATATGATCCAATATTTGTTTATCTATTATAACAAGAAATATTAACGGTTAATAATATGCATTGATACACATGAAAATTAAAACTTTGCCAATAAAAAAACTGAAGGAACGAGTAGACATACTAGAGAATTGAACGCTATACAAAACTTTCAAGATGTGAGAAGTTGAAATGTTTAGCCATATTTTTTTCACTATACAATCCATTTTAGCTAAATTATACATATAACTTTAAAAGTTACACGCCTCATTCGGCAATCTATTATAACTATACAATCTATTTTAGCTACATTATGAGCCTTCTTTAGCAATATGAGAGGAAATTATCTGTAAGATAACTAAAGACGAACACTATGAACACTTCCAATGAGGACGGCTTCAAATAATAGTAGTGAAGTACTATAAAAATAATGTACAAGAAGCATCTATTAAGAAGATGAACTAATGTTCCGAATCAAGGTCACTACTCACTAATAACTTTATATTACAGTGATCACAAAATTGCAACACTAACAAGGAAAATATGCGCGATGGCAAATTATTGATTGCCACTCTATCAGACGATTGTGATTGCCAGGACGAAGGGAATGTAGGAGAGATTGCCAATAACAAAAAAGATTAGGACTAAAATGAGTTTTACAGAACCCACCTTTTTTACTCGGGGAATATCAATGCTAAAGCAAGTTTTTACAGAGGCAACTTGTATATGCTCAAAACACATACCAGGAGGCCAACGCTTGAGGGAAATAATACATTCTTTCTTGTCATCTGACGGTCTTCGTTATAGCTCTGTACAAAATCACCCCTCTATATATAATCATATATGAACCCAACAGCACATCACTCGCTTGTCTCACCTGATAAATCTGCTCTGCTGATAGGGGTGCGATTCTCCTCTAAAATCAAGGAACAGATGGCCATTCAGTTCAAGATACATAAAGCAACTGTTATCTGGTAGTATATCCGCTCGAAATTGAACATCCTGTGATAAAATCAAGATCCATTTACCACCATCTCTGATGAGGAGTTTGTGGGTAAATGAGGAAGTTCCTCCCCCTCCATTTGTCCATTTTCTCGACTTTTAGATGAAGTACCAGAATTATTTGGAGAAGTAATGATCTCTTCGCTTCCATTTTCATCAGCCAAATTATTTTGGCAAGTAATGATCTCTTTGCTTCCAACTTCATCAGCCGAATTATTTGGAGAAGTAATGATCTCTTCGCTTCCATTTTTATCAGCCGAACTGTTTTCATCATAGTGATTTCTAACTACTTCAGCTTCTCTCTTTTGACCATTGTCCATGTCCACAGTACTCTTTGTATTTGAGCTTTGGGAAGCATTATGTGCAATACTCGCTGCTTTTTTGTTGGGCAAAACTGCCTGGCTGAGAGTCGTGCACAAGGAAGCAAGAATGCTCTCTCTTGACACTTTCTTTTGATCAAGCCGCTGCTTCTTGACTAATCCAGGCTCCTCCTTAGAAGCTACCTTCCTCTTCATACTTAATGACTCTAGAATACCTTCATCCTCATCAGAAGCTTCTGTCTGTCTTTTAGGTGGAGGTTTGTAATCTTCATCATCCTCATCATCATCATAATCCACTAGTCCACCAGGTTTAGGGCTGCAAATATTAACGTATAACTATTATATACAAGCGGCAATAGTAAATGAATAATATCTGCAGATTCAATTTACCTTAATGTTGCACAGCTAGGAGCAGAACCGTTGGATGAAATAGGATGCTCTTGTACCCTTCGATTGTTGTTTGACACTGAAGCTGATGCAGTGTCTTCCTCATCACTGTAAAATGACAATAAATCTTACTTTATTGTAAAAAAAAAGTAGAAGCGGAAGCCATACATCAATTCTATTATATTGGACAGGATTACAGCAGATACCTATCCTCATTGAAGTAGTCTTCCTCTTCTTTCTCCAAAGCACGATCTTCAACCTGTTTTCTTGAATCCACATTTACTGCAGATTTTGTTCCAACGCTTTCCAGGGACTGCAAAGTCTCAGATCAGATAAGTGCATTCCAGAAGATAGTAGTATAAGACAACAATTATCTAACAAGATACCTGCTCATATTTGACTCTCAAAGATTGAATAGAAGCCAACTTATCAAACTTGCTTAGCTGACTCCAGAAAGATTCCACCAAATACTTGAGCAATGGCTTCACACTTTCCTGCAAGAAACTTCACCCCATCAGGACTAGAGCTCATATGACATCATTTATCAGCAACAAAGTGTGAAAATAAAAGTGCAGCAAGCACCTTGCGTATGTACTCAAAGAGCTCCAAAGCTGCAGAATTGAGCAAATTATATCGATCACCATTAGCAACAAATGCATCCACTATGGGTTTGAGAAGGTTGCGTCTCATAATATAATTATTAAGATTTTCATCCTGCAAAATAGCATAACTGTTCAATTAATTTCCAAAAGAATCAAAGGTTAACAAATCACAGCTTTAGGCTTAACATGAAGTAATTTAGAATGGCTCATGATACTACCTCAGTTCCTATTGATAATAATGTAGCAAATGGTGGTAGAATATCAATTAAAGGATTTAGTTATTGCCTTATTGCAGTGGTGATGGCCAAAGGGTAAAGCCACCAAGGAGGCTCTTTAGATGCAATGGCCACTGAGATAATGTCAGTGAATTTAACGTTTAAATAGCTATTTGTCTAAGTTAACTAGACCCGGTGAAGATGGAACACCTTTGTTTCAGCATTAGCAGCCAAAAACACCAACAGAGAGTAGGACTGCATCTAATGAAGTCATAAAGATACAAAGCAACAACACCGCAAAGTTAAATATTAAATAAATAAATAAATATTAATAATAATTAATAAATAAATATTAATAATTGATTTGGACATTATTATTGATCAATTAGCCTATATCTACAAGGCTAACAACGTTACAAACAAACACTTCCACAAATGTGACTTCGTTACGAAATAATTTGGTGGAGAATATTTTCGTCATTGATATCAATATTTCCGGTCAAGTACCAATTTTCTGATTTTTGACAACCAAAAGCACAATGGCTCAGTTACTTGAATGATGTGATAGCTTCAATGCCTCATAGAAATCCATGAATCTCACTTAGCATGTCATCTATCCCACACCTACTTGGAAAAACTCACTTACGTAGAGTCATGTTAGCCTGTATGCAGGCACCAAAAGTCCGAAGCGAGGTAGAGAGCTGAGACCCCTAAAGCTCAAGAGTCTTTTAGGATTTTACCATCTTCAAAGGAGGAAAATACATCTAGCCCTGATACAATACTTATATCATGACTATATGATCTAATAAAATATAATCTCACTTCAAATTTAGTAATAAGCACCACATGTCAGGTAGGTACTTCCATGACTACCATGCGTAGGCACAACATGCCCGTAAGGCCATAACACAATTGAATTCTCATTTTACCCAAAAACCCATATCCAAATATCAGACAATGCATGGCCCTGTTTTTCACGAAGAAGATGTAAGGCCCTCTTTTTGATGAACTTAACTTATTTTTACTAAACTGAAATTAATTTTACACTGAAATTAATTTTCCTAAACCGAAATTATTTATACTGATTCTCTGTTATATTTATTCTTTAAATTTACTGATTTTTACTAAATTGAACTAAAATTATTTTTACTGAATATTATTTTTTTAAGGTGAAGCGAACAGGGCCTAATTCAATTGTTACTTGTATTTGATCAGACTGATCACTGCTTGGTCTATTGTATATCCAAAGGCTCGAATACCACATCACATAAATATGCTACTATACAAGATAGTGATTCCCGAATAAAAGGTAATCAACGAAACGATCATGGCCAGGTCAGGCTTTGGCTAAAATGTGTCCTATATTGGGCCAAATAATTCTTGTCCAAGCCCACTGAAATCGGGTTGACTTGCAGACCAGGGTTAGACCTAAAAGTGCATTTTCACTGTCCAAAGACCAGCTTTTCTATCTTAAAAGTCTGAATCCCGCATAATTTCTGGACTAGGTCAGACTGGGCCAATTGATGATCAGCTATCCTTAACAAGCAAAGCAAAAAAACAAATTGACTGCATTTTTTATATAATTAGCAAATTTGCCCTAGTCTTAAAACTAACCCTCAAAGTTTAACTAATCAATGTGAGATAAAATGACTTACATTACGAGAAATCACAGTGCGGACAAATCTAACAGCAGCAACTACCAGATACTTCTCTCTTCTCCTCGTCAGATATAAAACTTTGTCCATGGAATTGTTCAGCAGGAAGTTGCACCTGCACCATAAAAGAAAAATAATAGATATTATGCCAAATCAGAAGCAACTAAAAATACCAAGATATAATTTATATCACTGGAAAAACAGGAAAATGAATATTTACTTTATCTTGTATAGATGATGCACAACGCAAAAGCACAACAGCTCGCACACGCTCAATAGAATCTCTGGCTTTGTGTAGCTGTGTTTATCCAAATTTTCGACATCAGAGTTAGCTAAAGTCTTGCCTCCACCAGGGCAAGAATAAGTTATGGCATCAATTAACTGCCCCAAATGCCTTTCGTAGAAAATCTCAATTATAGTATCTCTCTGCAATGCAATACATGATAGGACATGTAAAGTATCATCACGCATGCAAACATAAAATGAAAAGAAGGAAGCAAGAAGCATGAGAAAGAAATTCAAGCAAAATTCAGGGACAAAGTATTTTTGTAAAACTCTGCAAATAATATTTCAAAAATAAAAATCAACAACCACTATTTTACAGCTGCACACATAAATTCAACCAGGTTGCAAGGGAAAGAATGTGTAATTTATTGTTGCTCAACAATTATACCAATAGTTTATACAATCCATTTTAAAACTCGGTTATCTGGATTTTATATAAGAAAATATATTTTATTAAACATACACAAGCATTGTACAAGTACAAAGAGGACAGGGTGTCCTCCCAAAGATACAGAACTAAGATTAGCCAAATTCCTTTGTATGTCCCCAGTAGAGTAATATGTTATTTAAAAAGTCCAATTAATAAGTCAACACAAAAAAACCCAATCGGAATGTCATAATTACATCAGGAACAAGCTTAAACTATATCCACCACCTTAGAACCCATGAATGGGTGCACATAATACAAAATAAATAAGTACAACATATATAATGGAGACAGATTAAGATAAAGGAGGGTTAAAATATAGTTATTCAAGACTCATGCCCTATCAACCATTGAATAAAAAATATGGTTCCAGCCGTGATCGGGAAACAATCGCTATGTCATGGTGTAATGTAGGTTAGCAAGTTCATGCACTGTTTATTAGGAAGGTTATTGCCTTATAAAATACAGTAAAAGGAAAGAATCTCACTGATAAAAGTATCGTTAAAAGGAAATCATTTAGTTCAGTGGACATCGCAAATAGATAGGTAGTTAATTACTTAAAACATGCTAGATAGGAAGGCATAAGTGACATACATACCTGCGCTCCTGACAATGTGTACGAATCTAACAAAGTACGAAGGATTTCAAGAAACTGGCAGTGCATATTATCCCCAAAATCGGTAAGCAGACCTTGGACCTAAATAGAATAAATAGTCATATAATCACAGCCAGTTTTTTCAAATGTGATAAGAGTATTAATAATGATTCCAATTTACTGCATGCTTCAACAATTTTGGCAACATAAACAAGAGCAGAGAATCACAATAATTGTCTATATGTTGCAAAATGAGTTGGGCAGATAGAGTTATCTCAGTGAGCCAATTTAGTTATGGTTTTGGGTTGACAAAAAATCAACCTAAAGGACTGACGCCATAATAAAATCTTGCACTCTTGCAGCTGTTACGAGGTTCGATCCAATAATAATCCCATTATATTCTTTTCCATAAATATACTTACCGAAACAAATGAAACCAAGAATAGTTCATAAAGATCACAACAGTAATAAAAAAAAATGACAAGTTCACACAACAAAGCAATGATATATAGTGGCTATAAGTACAAAATCCATTCGCATATAAAAAGTTAAATAGTCGATAACTATAAAGAACCATTACTTTATCTAAAATTCATTATTGCAAACGAGGATGCTGATGCAGCAATATATCAGTATTACTGCTCAGTGTCTACATTAATTGTTATACATTAGTCTCAACACTCAAATGTAATTAAGAGTTTGAAACCTGCAAGTAGGCTTTCCTAAGACATAAGCAGCTCAAAAACTTCTTTAAATTGTATTATCTCTCATAAGCCTTTTCCAAGTAAAAATAACTATCATAAAGATCTTATGCCTATAATTCTAATAACCCACTAAGCATCTGAATGGACGCATGGCAACCAATGTTTACATCAATCCGGAATAGTTTATAAATCATGCGGCTGGACAAAAACTAATTCAACAGCATGGGAGAAATGAATTGCATTAATTGAGCAGTTGGGAGGTCAGGAGGCCACTTTAAATTCTCCAAATCAAGATGTATATCTTGACGACCAAGGGAACACATATCAACACAATTGCCCAAAACACAAAGTGTTTTTTCGTATGTAGAGAATAAGAAATCATAGAAATCGCAGTTTCAATATTACTCACTAAAGTACAAGACTTCTACAATGTTTTACTAATGCAAAGCAACTTTTCTTTCAGATAAGAGTGGATTGCCAAAATAAACCCAGATTATATGTAATGATATCAAAGTCATTAATATGCGTACCAAAAGACCAAGAAGAGGAGTTCCTTCAGGCCGGACAACATAACTACGCAAAAGGTTTGGATCCTGATTCAAGAAAAGTATAAGGATATCTGTCCTGCATGCATCAGAAGACATGTCATTAGGGTTTATCAACAATATGATTATAAGTACAGCCTTAATAAAACATTTTTTTCGTCACAAGTTAAAGAGGAATTTTGGTCAAGAAAGACCAAAGAGAGCAACCATGCACAAAACTGTCAAGACCAAATGGCAAGGAACCAGAAACATGTCCATGAAAAAAAATATAACTAGAAAAGGAAGCAAAATCTCCTTACCCGGTCAAGACAAGTCTTTTGTCTTCACTCTGCAGAATGTCACTGATGATGTCAAAAAGGCCTTCATTTACGAGATCCCTACAAGAATTTCAAGGTTAGAAAAGATAAATTAAGTAAGAGAGTAAAAAAGTACTAGCTCAAATGCTCAAAAATAAGAAAATTCTTTGTGTGTGTAAAGAACTTTCTTAATTGGTTTAATTAAGGGGCTGATTTTAACTATCAAGTTGCTGATTAATTTTATACTTCCTCCGTTTCTTTTTAGTTGACACGTTTCTTTAGTCACGTTTGCCAATGCACAAATTCAACCATTAATATCTTTAATTATCGCTAAGAAAAAATTATGAAAAGTTGATATTTTGAAAATATATATCGTGAGGAATCTAACAAGATCCCACATGACTATATTTTTCATTATGTATAAAGCACAAAACACGGTCAAAGGAGATTGTGTGAATAGTGCTAAAGTCAAAACATGTCAACTAAAAAAAGAGGTAGTATTTTAAAACATATAATCAATAATAAGCAGGCAGTTATTTGGTGGGTGTGCACCTTTCAGATTTAATAGGTCTTTTTTTATTTATTTCAAAAACGCTAGGGATTAAATTGTTTCATCTTATCTCAAATAGATTAGTTAGTCTATAACTCCATAAGGATCCTCTTGCGTACACATTTTCCTTCAGATTATGATCAATGCGAAAAGCAGCCTTTAAGGATCAAACCAGTCTAAAGGTTCTTAGGGGCCTAAGCAAGAGTAAATTAACATAAAGGTCTATTTACAGTTCTTAATGAGAGCAAATAGAGTTCATATTTATAATACAGAGATAACATGAAATGTGTATTGAATAGTTTTACTATATATAAAAACCCAAAAGATGCAGAGCGGTAAATAGTAAATGTATACTAAGAGGTGTCAAGCACTCAAGCCTGTATGAATACAGAGCTGGCTGAGGATATATGCGCCCCCAACTCTTTACAGTCACAAGAATCAGATTGAAATAATAATACAGATCAAATAAATCAACTAGGCAAGAACAATAGTTGTCAATCTTCAGAATGAAGCAATGAACCATTACTAATTTCGAGGAAATTATTGAGTGCATCCAAACAATCAAGAATATTGCTTGAACAAGACAAACTTGAAACCATAGTAGTTAAATACCTAAAAAGTCGAAGTTGCTGAACCATTTGTAGACTCTTGCTTAAAGTGCAAAACTCATGCAAAAAATAAACCTGCAAAAAAAGTTTCTTGAAACAATCACAATATAAAGAGGATGAGATATTACATTAGCCTAAATTTTCCAGTTTAAAAATCAGCTTGAAGTTTATTGGCCCAACATTGTTGGCATTATACTATTGCTGACAGCTCAGTTATGTTTCATCCAATGGAATTAAGGCTGAAAGTTTAGACGGTCATTCTGAGTCTCAACATATTTTACTTCAACTTCTCATTTTGATTTCCATATCAATGACTAGGTATAGACACTTGATACTCTAACAAGGGTATGGAATCCTTACATGACACTACAATGTTTAATCGGAAACTTAATTTATCATAAACCACAAAATGATGAGATGAGAAGTATTAATTATTAAACATGTCAAGGAAAAGAGAAATGATATGCATACACACAGATGGGATGAGATAAGAATTGCAACAAGAATTAAAAATCAAATCAGCCTGAATCAAGTACTTGTACACTAAGAGCTGGTAAAAAATTCCTATAAAAATTAAGAATATGTTCCGTTAACGGCAAGTCCCCGCACTCTAGTCCAATTTTAGGAGTCTTGTGTCTGAAATTGTAGCCATTACATGCCTAACACTAAGAACACTCGTTCTCATGTCTGAGTAGCATAAATGACAAGTCTATAATTGATGACAAAATATTAAAAAAAAAAAATATATATATATATATATCATCCTCTTTATATTGTGATTGTTTCATGATGAATCCATTACTTCCAGATTAAAAGCGACCTAGCCGAAATTACTTCCCATAAGCTCAGCTAGATGAATCCATCTCGACCGTACACATGCAAAGCATCTGGTAACCTTTCATTTGTAGTATAGTACTTCAATAATTACCCCCCACCCTACCTCATTGGCAGACGACACACTGTATTTACTCTCACTAATCTCTAAAAGCTTTTTCTTTCTCTAAAATACGTTCTCTTGAGACTTGGTGAACAACTTAGGCATAGGAGGGGGTTTCCCTGGTTAAACTCCCGAGGGTTGCTGATGTTTGTTAATCCTGGCAGCGCACGAGCATCCAGAGTCCCCAGGTCACAGACTCGGAACACTATGGATACATTTTTAAAGCAATTTTTGCGACATATTATTTAAATGGTGACAACATCAAACCAGAACATAACTAATACTTCCTCCGTTCCCCAAATATTGCAACATGGGAATTGGACACGGATTTTAAGAAGAGGAGAGAGATAGAGAGGAATTAAGATAGGGACCCATGTGATGAGGAGAGAGAGAAAGAAAACATGTGCAAATAGGGAAATGTTGCAATATTTGTGAAACTTCCTAAATTGTAATTGTTGCAAACTTTGTGGAACGGAGGAAGTATGTGACATCACATAGGTAACATGTTTTGTTTCAATAGTCATCAAAATACCAGATTCTTCTTGGAATCCACCGATGTGCTGGGTGATTTCAACCGTGAGAACAGTTCCTGAATGAAAGTATTGTCTTCCTTCAATAACGAAACTACCTGCAAATAGAAATTCAACCTGAGGCAACAACAAAAATTAACCGCACTGTACAAGATTTGAAAGTATGACTTACAACACCATTATTTGCATGTACAATGGAATTCAGACTGGCAATAGTTGCGTCATCCAATACTCTAGTCAAAGCCACATCCTAACAGTTATTAAAAAGCTCTAGTAAGAACCCTCTGAGAAAAAATTGAGAACAAATAAGCAACTGAAAGAAATTCAAATAAAAACCTTCAAGTAACCAATTCTGTATGTTTGGTGTATCTTTGACAAGATTGTGGGATCTTTAATCGGTATAGCCTGAAAAAATATAAGAACAAAACATGGCAATGCATAAATTAAAGGGGTGAAATGTGTTGCAAAGCTGATTCCACATGTTACAATCTGACATACTTCGCCTTCTTCAAATTCAAAACAGAACTAAATGACAGTTCAACTCACCTCCTTAAAAACCACATGCTCCATCAAAAAATCCCGATGTCGAACATGGGGGACATCCGGATCATCTATAGAAAATTTATAAAAAAAAACCTACACGGATCAGTCATTAACACATGATACAACATGTAGGGCTCACATCTACTACTTTATATTTAAAACAAATAAATAAATAAATCTTGTTAGTAGGATCAAAAAACAAATTCAAATGCAGCATAGGTTGCCCCATGTAAAAAGCATTTTCTCATTGACCAATTTTAACAATCACTCAACATTGCCTTTTGAGGACCCCATGCAGTCTAACTAGTACACAAAAACAAGGTGAAACATATACCAACAATAATTAAAAACTAGAATCAAAAACATATGATGAAACGAGTTTCACCAAAAACTCCCATCAGCATTATTTTAGCAAAAAGATCACAAAATGCCACATGTAAGAAAAGCACAGCCAAAGACCAGCCAAGATAAACATAGAGATATGTGTAATATGTTCATGGCTATCAGACTTCTGTAAACTGATATAGATGCCCACAAGGCCACAATCAGATATCAGAATTAGAGATTAACTCTATTCCTTTGTGTTTCTTCAATGGAATTATTCTTATGCCTTAACCAATAATGTCACTAAAATGCTACCTTTTTTTTTTATTTAGCCAAAGATGCTACTTTATCCCACAACAAATCAAGCAAGAAGGCCTCTTGAAAAAATACAGGCATTATGCTACAACCACGCACTCCAAAAGTTTGCCAATACAGCAGTGCACAAAAGCAATTTCTATTTCTAATCCCTCCAAAACCCCCTACCCCCACAAAGTGAATGTGTGGAAAACCCGAAACATTGAAAGGTCATACCCAAGACTCTTCATGCAAGCCAACAACTTTTTCAGTTTCTCCATAGATGATATGCCAATGATAACCCTAAAAGTGAAGGATATACATGTGAACAAGACTCGTTATATTGAGGAGGATTGCAATTTTTATAACACTCATTAACAGTGGTGAAAACCTATTCCTGAATCATTTAGGACACTCATTCGGGATGACACCACTACATAATGAACTAAAATTGACAGGAAAAAAAAAAAAAAACTTACATTCAAGACAGCCAATGATATCCATGATGAATTCATCTCCAAAAACCTTCTCAAAGATCTGCGGACTATTGAGCATTACTGCAGAAGGAAACACAAAATCACAAATAGCAACACACCATATCACAAAGTTAAAAATAAAACAAGAAAGAACTAAGGACAAAACAACTAAACTACTTTTCACATAGGCAGAGAATACTTACGAATGCCTTTGACAATTTTATAAATAATATGAAGACTGTCAAGATTCTCAAGGTCCTCAGAAATCCTAAACAGGTTCATCAGCTTCCTGAAAAACTCTTGCTGTAATAAATCAAAAGGTGAAGCTTAAGAAACCAGCTAGAAGAACAAAGAACAATAAAAGAATAATAGACAACAGAACTCAACTTGAAATCAACCATGTAATAACAATATAAGAATCTAGGTAAACCACAAGGGTGAATCTACTATAACATTACATGACACAGGATTCCACTCATATTTGAATACCGTGGTTTACCTAGATTCTTATATGAATTGTGAGGACAAAACCGCTAATCACAGGAAAACCACAGGTCTCTGTTCAGAAATGCCCAATCAATCAGCTAGATAAGATAATAAGCAGATCAAAGAACAAGTTTCCAATACTCCCTCCATACCAATAACCCTAAATAAAATAGGTTTGTACACACTCTAGAGATCAATATTGTAATTTTAAACAACTTTTATTAGAGTTGAAGAATGACTCCCTCCGATTGTTTAAAGGTCTACCTACTTTTTATTCAAATCCGTTACTCAAAATTCTTCCTACTTTTCTATATTACGATTTTTGGCAAAACTTTTCCGTCACTTAGCCTACCTCACGGGCCTGTTAACTCTATTTTAACACTACCATGTCTCTAAAAAACTTACTATTTCTTACCAAAAAAGTCAAACAATGGGACCCCCTGCTAGAAAGAAAAGTCAAAAAAGGAACCTACTTTCCACTATATCCCTTCTTTCCTTGGTTTTGTTGCGACATTATATAAGAACATCAATGTAAAAACAGAGGAAGATAAATGCATTGACAGTGTTATATATTAAAAGAAAATGTTTTCATTAAAGGTGATTTCAAAATCGTATGTAGTACAACTATCTTTATATAAAAAAGAAGAAAAAAGAAAAAAAAAGAGTTGAAAGCATGACCTAATGACCAATATCATTTCCCATCGACAATTTGAACTCGAATGGAGGATTAGAAAATTGAAAGAGTGTTGTTGAACAAAAAAAAACAGCTTACAAACGAAATGGTGTCAAGAGAACTACTAGCATATAATACACCCATTAAGCAAGATTTATAAGCAGCAAACTCACTTCCTACACACACACACAAGACGGGACATTATTAAAACGAGACTTTATCTAATGGGTGTATAAGCAATTATATAAGGAGAAACAGAGCAGCAAAGTTGACTGGAGGAAAAAGCCATACTTACATCATGCAATACAAGTTCCGTCAATCGCATTTGATCCGTAATGCCACTCTCTACCACAATCTGCTGGAAGCAATGGAAACCAAACCAGATAAGAATTAATATTCAAAAGCACACATAAAAGATAAAGAAGGTCAGGGGGCAAATAACCTTTCATTGATGCCCCATTTTCAACAATTTTTAGAGTAATTTTTAAATAAACATGATGGGGACTGGGGAGCCCTCTCTCGCCCATAACCTCCCCCCCCCCCCCCCCCTAATGACACCTACAGTAAAATTCATAGTTAAGATATAACAAACACTACTCCATATCAAGATAGGAAACATTTTCATAGAGGGCCCGGAGAATTGATAGCAATTAGCAAATGCCACATTAGAGGATTGAGTCATTACAGCCGAATTTGCCCAAGGGCAACTGCTTCATGGGGACATGCAAGCTACACAATTGCTTTCTTGACTTACACATAAAGGGCTAATCTCATTATTAGATTGGGTACAAACAGTTTGGAATGAAAGGAGTAGTTCATTTCTCCACCAAAAGAAGATGACCTTATACTTTCATCAATATTACTGTTGCATCAAATTTTATAATTTTTCAATACTAGTGTTCTGTGCAAGTCAAGAAAGCAGTTGCCATTAATAAAATTGATATCTTGACAAGATCCAGTAGCATGTAGAGATTTGAATTTGAGAGTGTATAATGCTGAAGTCTCATCAACACAAGCAATACTAGCAGTTAGCAAAATAATATTAATTAAAAAAAAAAATAGACCTTTAATATTAAAGGGAGTGTTGACAGCTCCACAGCAGGAAGCTCTCGTAACTCACTGTTCACACTGTGGAAGGTATCATCTGAAAATCACAATGAAAGTAAACCATTAAGAAAGTATAGATACTAAAACGGATGTCATACCAATCAATTGTACATATGAAAGCATCCACAATTAACAAACAGATAATCAGATGCAAAATGAAGCCAACAAAGTCAGTTATTATTGAAATTAGATGCCAGCACAGAAGGAAAACTGGTTGAAGCAAATTAGCCAAACGCTCTAAGATGAATGCATGTTAATATTATTTTTGTATGTAGATGATGACTCAACACCAATTGGTGTCTGTCAAGCAGATGGACAGCGCTTTGTAGGCAACTTATCACGGCATCAGTTAATAAAGCTACAAAAATAAGTTAAATCTTAAAGAGTGAAGATGTGGTATAGCAAATTAGGTCCAATCAAAGTTACCTGCCACCAAAAAAATGTGAGAACATGGTGTATCGCTGCACATTAGTCTCTATCTCAATAATTGAGGTCCTCAAATTGACATGCAATACTTGATGATATGGCCCCAAATAAGAAAACCCAGTATGGTTATGATTATGATCATGGTAGCTAAAGCACCATCTTGGAAACATTATCACAATTCACAACTAAGTGGCATATTTGAAGTTAAAAGACTGTTTTCATAATCAAATAGTAATTCATGTTGCCGTTCTCAATACTTATGATTACAAAGTTCAGAACCAATAAAAAGTCCACATACAAGTACATACAAGTCACAGACTAACGAATCCAATGGCCCCATACCCCTCCAATAAATAATAACATATGAAAAGAATCATTGTTTAAAGTACATATAGAGCTTCATTAATGAAAAGACCAGCAAAGCAAAGGCTGATCTCAGAGAATTTAGCCAAAGTAATGACTGACAAATATGCCCTAAAAAGAGCATAATCGTGTTTTCAGCACATCACCCAGCTATTGACCGTAATATCTATGTCCTGATTTACTAGTTTCATCTTTGATTGACAAAACTGGGATTTGCCATTCAAATCCTAAACCTAGAGCCTTTATCAGTTTTTTCTCACACACCAATAAACCCATCTAGCACAAACAGATGGCTACATTACAAAGGTTCAATGTTAATATCCCAACATATGAGACACAGATCATGCACCGCAGCAATAAGGAACTCTAGATGAAATGCTAGATCTTGAATTGAAAACAATGCTTCCTCTCCAAACTCCTCTCAACTTATGCGAACCCTATATTGCAACCATATTATCCCTTAACCCTCACCCAAGACCCAATCAATGATATCTCAGCCACGAAAAAATCTACTAAAGCCTAATGCACAAAACAGAATCACACCCTTGCTGACACATGTACCAAACATAAACATTAAGAATGGTGATACCCAACGGCAGCCTCACACCTAGGAGAGTAAAATCCAGAATTATCACATTCCCCAGCCATAACCATGACGGGCAAATAGGCAAATGTGTACTCCCTCCGCCCCTTAAAGATTGCTCTATTTTTCTTAATGGGCCATCTCCCACAGAACATTCCATTTCTATTAAATAAAAATCCCACTACTTAAAGTAAACATTTGCCGGCTTTTTAAATAAAAATTTCCCTTTTCAGTGTCATCACCCTCCCTAACTTAGACTCCATCCATATAATTGCCCCTTTCAATTAACTGATTTCTTTCTCAATCTTTTCCATCTTCCTTCTGTCTTTCATCCATCTCAACCACTTCTATTACTCCCTCTGTCCCATGATATAATTCATGTTTTCCTTTTCTGGGGTCCAAAAATGTTATTCCTGTTTCATTTTTTTTCCTGTTAAGACACTATAAATGTCTAAATACCCTCATTATTTTTTTTCAATACTCACTGCACTACCCCATATACCCTCACATTTCTTCTTGTTATTTGTGCCCCACTCATCATCATGTACTTTATTTATTTTCATGTACTTATTATTTGTGCCCCACTCACATTTCTTGTACTTTTTCTCTCTTTTTCATGTACTTCATGTACTCTCTCCTCCTATTTCTTAATTTCCATAAAATATTACAACCGAGAACTATATTATGGGACGGAGGGAGTAATAAATTTCAAGATCCTTCCCCCTCTTAGATTCACTTCAATTTTTATAACAGCTATAATAACTTTCGTCAATCTCTATAACAACTCGTTAATATTAGTACAAAACTCTCAAAGAATTATCACGGAAAAAAAAAATGCATAATCATCATAAATTTCCAAAAAAATATATATATTAAGAAAATTTCTGAGGATTGTGTGATTTTCATAGGTGAAAGAGTAATAACCAGAATATTATTAAGTTCCAATAATAATCTTCCTCAATGGCGGAAATAGACAGCAGTAGACTTTTGTCCAAAACTCTTATAAGGATTAAGTAATCTTTTGAAACCTTGAACTCTTCTATCCAGAAATTTCCCATCACCAATTTATCATAGTTAATGTCTGGCACAGGTAACAAATCCTAACAATACTTGCAGTATACATAGCGGTAATAAAATCTTAATGATTTATAAATTAACTTCTATTCGTAATAAAAATCCTACTAGGATGATAAATGCAACTAATTTTTCAATGAAGATTCCAGCTACCCTTGCATATCACATCGTAGCAGTTCTCAGTGTAGAGCATGGCAACAAATGACTGATAATGATTTACTTCAAAACTATCTAATATCACAGACATTTCAAACTGTCAAAAATTGTCACATCAAAAGAAACAAACATACACTAACCATCAATTCTTGATACTATTTGCTGCCTTTTTTAAAATTTAATACAGGGATAGTTCACAACAACAATCATCACACGGCAATGAACTTAAAAAACAGTAATCAAGTAATATAATGAGAATAGAAACTGAAAGTAACAAAAGGATAAACTTACGATTAAGAGTAGTAAAATGCAGATTTCGTCGCACGTTGCATATGTGATCCCTGCATAAATCAGCATATAAGGGCTAGAGCCAACAAAAAAGTTCCAAACAAACCCCAAATATAAAAGAAGTTTGCATTACCAGATATAAGAACATCCAGCAGTTTCCTGGAAGCTAAGGGCTAATTCGGTAGAATATTCTGGATCTCTCCAGGAAATAATTGTATCTAGAAAAGAGAAATATATCAAGTTAATGCAGAATATATAACTCAAAACACAATACTAGTGTACACAAACTAGTACCTTCTTGTTTTCTATAAATGTCGTCTGGGGTGATCCGGTGCAAGAGCAAGGTTTCATTATCCTCTTCATCAATGACAAACAGACCGAGATCTTCTGACCGCTGCATTAAGCATTATCTTGTTACTGGTATAGCAGTGTAACTAATGTATAATATTAAGAAAAGGAATAAAACCAACCTCCACATAATCCACAGTGACATGGCCAGTTCCCTGATCCTCCCACTTGCCATCCTCATTCAGACGATAGACTTTGACCCGCTGAAGGGAACAAAATATAAATATTGCAGCAACAAAATTGAGATTTTGAGACAAAATATATCAAATCCATATCCGCGACAGCTCAGTAAAAAAAAAATGAAAACTAGAAAGTTGCCACAGTTAGAGCAATATTTCAAAAAGGATCCTGGCGATTTGGCCAAATCCACGATCACTAGTGATTTGGTCAAGCGCGTTAGCACATTCCCTGTAAGTAATTAAGAACCAACTTGACAACATAACAAGTTAAACAACAACTCTGCCAAGCATATGAAAAACAACATAAATGGCTATACCAATCAAAATTAGAGCAGAATCAGTTGTAGCAGGATGTCAAATAGTGTAACACTATTGCAAGACCAGCATCAAATTTTCAGCTATATATCTACAATAGAACTCATTTCACAAAGTAATACTGCTAACTAGAAGATGTCAATAGGAAACCATCCATCAAAACTTTGACATACGATTTCATTCCCTAAGAAACTTCCATTCTCTTTTTCCTATCTGGATTTTAAATAACAATTCAAGAACCCACACACATAGTCTATTACAGCTTAATTATTAGCTTCAGATTATACTGATAACCCAAACAATAAAAGTCACAAATTCTTTCATCAAGAGAGAGAGAGAGAGAGGAAAAAAAAAAAACTCAGTACTAGTATACTACACCATAAATACAGTGAAAAATGTGAAGTAGCCTACAGGCCACGGCACATAAACACAAAGAACTCACATTTCAACAATCAAAAAAAAAATATCTAAGTTCAGCACTTGACTCCCCCAATATCCATCCATATTCCTGAGCTCACACTAGCCCTAAGGCCTTGGGAATTGGGATATGGGTGATACCTTATGTGGTAATTAGGATGAGGTAGTGATTGTGTGCAGAGGAGGGAGGACTGGGGAATTATTACACGCTAGTACGCTACTAAATGTGCACTCTCTCCTTACCCAAGAAATCCCCCTCTACCCCGAGGATTGTCAAGCACATCATCAAGTGGGGGTTCATGAAATTACGAGCATCAAGAGTTTCCACCAAGCTTCTCAAACAAATAAACCCTTTTTCAACCTCATTAACTAAAAACAAAAACAACTTGACTGACATCCACAATTAGAAACCTCGTGGACCACCAGCACCAACTTCACAACCTATTCCACAAAGTCACAAACTATCTTTTGTAGTAGCTATCACTCATTGTAATTATTATACGCTACTATATGTGCACTTTCTCCTTACCCAAGAAATCCCCCTTTACCCCGAGGATTGTCAAGCACATCATCAAGTGGGGGTTCATGAAATTACGAGCATCAAGAGTTTCCACCACGCTTCTCAAACAAATAAACCCTTTTTCAACCTCATTAAATAGAAACAAAAACAACTTGACTGACATCCACACTTAGAAACCGCGTGCACCACCAGCACCAACTTCACAACCTATTCTACAAACTATCTTTTGTACTAGTTATCACTCGTTGTAATACGAAGAACTTCTTTCAGCTGTTATACTAAATGCTATCTAGGCGTATTAGTTAAATTTTAGCTGTTTCAGTTATCTATCAAAGAAACAACTACTTAATCAAGTGTTCTCTACAAACAGCTATTACAGTACTAAAGCAAACAACTATTGCAACCCAAAACTCTAATACCTAAAGCTCAAAACATCATATTTAGCATAAGTGTTTAAATTAGTCTAAACACTAAAAGCTACTATCGAAAACGCCCGAAATCGCAGTCACCACCTACCTATCAAGCACACAAATTTGCAGCAACTAGGGTTTCGCCCAACCAAATAAACCCTAATAAAAAAAACGTAAACAAACTGTTTCATCAAGTAGAAACGCCGCCAAACACAACAGATAATCGAAACGTTTCGAAAACCAAAAACCCAGAAAAAAGCATAAAAACCATACCTGATGCTCCCGAGAACATCCAACAGCTACTAATCCCAACTCACGCTCCCTCTCTCTTTCTCTATCTCTCACGCGCCGCCGTTCAATACAATTCTTGAGATCTAGGGTTGCGTCCATTGAGCCCTAGATCTGTAAATTCGAAGCACCGATTGAAAAGGAAGGGAAATTGGAGGAAAAGCGAGCTAAATTAGGGTTTAATTGGAATTGGGGAGGCGACTACCATGAAAGTTGAGCTTCATCGAGTGGCCGGCAATGGCGAGAGAGGAGACCAAAGGGGGGTTGCGCTCGCGTCGAAGTGTTTTTGACTCTGAAAAAATAAAAGGAAAAACAAAATAGAGGAGAGAGAAAGTGAAGAGAGGGAAAACTTGTTGAGACACATATATTAGTAGCACGTGGCAGTTTAGTTTAATAGTGGTAACCAAGTAATTTTGCTTAATCTTAATCTTAATTCTTCCAAAAAAAAAAAATTTAATCTTAATTTAATCTTATCTTAAATTTGATCTTAAATCTTTAAAAACTTGCACAAACTTTTATATGTGGCTCGCCACACTGTGTGCCCAATCATTATGGGGGTTACTTTGTTAGTGCTATAGGGGTTACTCACTCGGTCAGGGGTTACTTGATCCGTTATGGGTTACTTGGTCAAGGGTTACTAAGTCGGTTAGGGTTACTCGGTCAAGGGTTACTCACTCGATCAAAGGTTACTCGGTCAAGGGTTACTCACTCGATCAAAGGTTACTCGGTCAAGGATTACTCGCTCGATCAAGGGATACTAAGTCGGTCATGGGTTACTTGGCCGATCAGGGATTACTTGTCGGTTAGAGGTTACTTGGTGTGTGTCCGTGTGGCCAGTCGCACACAAAAATTGTTCTAAAACTTGATGTTGATCTTTAAAATTTGATCTTAATCTTTTTGTTTTTTTACTCGTGTGGGTTAGTAGGTTGGATACTTTTAAAAGTAAGGATCTATACTTATATTAGTTATATACTTAGTATCTTGATGTTGATCTTTAAAATTGCTTGTTGAAGCAGAAGCTCTTTGCTTGGGCTATGAGACCGAGGAAGAAGTACGGGATCACCAATGTGATGTTCGAGTTTGATTGTAAGCTTCTTATTGATCGCCTCACTAAAGGAGCAGTGTATCTCTTAGACCTTATGCTTTGCTTGGCGATATGATTGATATTAGTGCTTGTTTTGAGTTTATCAATTGGTCTATGTTTGTAGAGAGGGCAATTTTGCAATTCACCACTTAGCTAAGCTAGTTTCGTTTGGTATTTTGAACAAATATGGAAAAATCATTGCCCCAATGAGGTTTTTTTGTATGTACTCATGGATACTTTATCCTTTGATTAATGATAACTAGCTTGGTTTCCCTAAAAAAAAAAAAAATATATCACCAAAGTTATCCCAAAAATACACATGTCACACCCACAATAAAAATTTTCCCTTAAAAAAAATTAATGAATACAAACTTCTAGTAATTTATAAAAAAACAATTTTTTTTTCTTACAAATCATTAAATAAACATTGTAATTCACAATTAGGTTAAATAAAAGTTGTGCATTGCACGGGACTTAAGCTAATTACAATTAAGAAATCTCCACCCACGAAGTACTAGCATATATAAAGTGCCCCAATTTGACTAGAACATTTGTCTATGCGAAAAACTTATAAATAATTATGAAATTTTTTTACTATAATATATATATGTTGAAACGATATGATTCTATCAAGGACTCCTGTTGTTTGATTTTGTTATAAAGCTTAAAACTGGTCAAATTGATGTTTATGAAAAATGCAAAAGTCAAATTAGGGTTTTTAAGAAAAGGAAGGGAGTATGTATTCATTGACTCAATTGTAATATATTAAGTTAAGAAAATTATGAATCACTATTATTCAACTTAAAAAAAACAATAAAAAAAATAAAATTATTAGTAATGTAGAAATTTGTAAGGAAATCAATAGTAGTGTAGAAATCAATAATAAAAAAATAAAAAATAAACAAAGTAAAAATAAAATAATTAGGTCCATTTTTACTTTACTTTATTGGATAGTAAGTTGGAATTTGTTTAATACTACGTAGCTCGTATTAGATTAGTTGATCAAGTCACATTGATTAAATTCAATCTAAATTAATTTCAAATATAATTGTATGCACTAGAAAATTGTATTGGGTTTGTATCAAATTATTATTATTATTATTATATATATGTCTAAGTCAAAGATAGCTTTTTCATAGTTTGTCTATTCATCAAGTCAAAAGAATAAATAAATAAAATCAATATCTCTAAGTTAAGGGTGCATTTCTTTTCAAGAAAAGAATTGTATTTCTTATCATCTTTATTTTGACATCGATGAATGATTGGAACTTAAAAAATACTCATGTAAACAGTGATACAATACTACAAAGTAAATCCCCTGAATTAAAGCAAGTATTTAAATTTATCCATTTCATGATGAGTTTGGTGCAATTCTTAATAATGGCGTTGAAAGATTGATGGGCGTAAGAATTTTTACCACGACGGATTGGATGTAAGGAGGGTGAGAAAGTTCCACATTGAACATTTATCACTATGTTAGCTCGTTATGAGACTTGTGTTTGATCACTATCAATCATAGAGTAATTGTGTTTACTTACCTTTTCATGAATTTTTATATATTCGTCACTTTGCAATTTAGAGCCAATATGCCAATACTACTTGTAATTTAAGCTCTTGTAGCCGCCTTTTTATGGTGAGGCTATTGCTCTTGGTAATTTAGAGCCAATATAGCCATTACCACTTATAACTTAGGTTCTTGTAGCCCTTTTTATACATTATTCTGCTGTTAATTGTTACCAAATTAAACATATTGTTTTAAAAAGAGCTCATAATATTTGAAAAAAATGTATGTAACTAAAAAATTTCACAAATTCTTATAAATACACATTGACATAATCATTTTCTTAATATGCTTTTTAGAAAGCTACTATATCTACAAATAACTATATTTGTCTAAATGAAATAATCTTTGAAATTCGAGTAATCTAAAAAAGGGAGTTGTGACTATGGACAATGTATCTATATACTAATATTTTAATTTTTTTTTTTTTTTTAAAAAAAAAAAAAAAACAAAAACAAAACAAAGGTATGCATATTGCAAATTCCCCAACATTGATTTTGATAAGAAAAGGATTATATATATTTATAATGATTACAACATAGGAAAAACTGTGATAGTAAAGGAATCAGATTGATTGATTTCATAAACCAAACACCATTTCTACTTATTCTACCTAGATAATAGTACTGGAAAAAAAAAAAGTAGTATCCAAAATATGCAAAAATATATCACGATTATTACCTCACAAATTAGTATAATATACCAATCAATTAATTAATAATAAGAAAATTACATTTCATTTTTCGTGTTGTGATTGGCTTCTCCAAAAGCCATTGAACTTGGTAACCATCTCCTTCTCTAGTTCCATCAAATCATCATCTATACTATCGGTCCCACCAATCACAAATGTTACCTTATCACCATCATGGACAAGCTCGATGGTTCTTTCACCATCTGGCGCATTTGAATCTATTTCACAATGGTGGCTTAAGGTGGTAAGTAACGGGGTATCTAGATAAAGGGGCAACAAGCCTTTTTTAGCTAATGCTCTCCTTCGAAATCGCTTAAATGCCTTTCGGCAAAGCTTGCTTGGTACCTTATATATGACTAGAGTTAACAAGTTGGCTGCTGCGTATGGGAAACAACACCATACGGTTGCACAATCTGCTGTTACTCCACTCCACCCGCCACCTCTGCCACTTTCTTCGTAGTTGGTGATCCCATCGAAGATGTTGGGCACATGACAATTTGCCTTCTATATGTCATTGGCTCAATGATATTGTGTTCATCTGCCATTGATTTATAACACAATTATTATTTCTCTTTACTACCCCTAATATTATATAATAACATGATTATTCAATAAAACAAATGGGCTATAATGAATATGGAAATTTTCTAAAACCAAAACTCACTTCATAACATGAGAATAAAGTTTAGTTTGCTCGTGAGATGATAAAATCGTGGAAGAAAATAATTCAACAAAGCCCCTCACAAGCAGTCTAAACCAGCTTGTGAGGGGAATATAATTAGCTACTAAAGTTATATAGGTCCATGAGTTCTCAAGGAAAAACATGTGATTTGGTTTTAGTGAAAATTGATAATAAAAAGATAAAACAAAGTAAATAAAGCAAATGGTGAGAGGGACATAAGTACTTGAGCTATAAATGGCAAAAATCCTCGTGAAATATGGGTTATCTTAATGATATGATCTATTTTTAGTGTCTATTAATTTATACAAAAGGTGGCTTATCTACTATAGATCTTTAAAAAAACAAGGGACATTTTATTTGTTTTCAAGTGCGAAGAATAAGGATGTGAATTTTAGCAAAAAGGTTTAAAGTAGCAAAGAAAACTAAGTTGAAGCATGTAAAGAAAAGTTGTTAATCTAAACATAAAGTTCATCACAATGAATATGCAATCTACCCTAACAAATATGATACAAAGTACATGTAATATTAATATTCTTTCAATCTCACATTAATACATTATTCTTAACTGTAATTTATTTGACACTTAGGCATTAATAATTACTCAAGTAGCATACTCTCAATTCTCAATTTTCTAAAATCAAAGTTATAAAAACTATTTATTAAATTTGAATAATTGTCAATAAAAATTCATGAACAACTTTAAGTATACTCTTCATTGTAGCCGGAATCCTTATATATTAATATGAACTAGAAGAGATAATCACCATACTAGTAAACCAAAAATAATGAATCTATATGTAATTTGAAAGTTCAATTTTTTACAATTTCATACCAATCTCATAAAATTGTAACTGCACCAAAGCAGGAACCACTTAAGTCCCTTCATATATATAAAACCCAACAAAAAATCTCCATCAAAATCATGCATATTGGTCATTAGATCTAACACAATTTACAATCATATGAAAACCACTAGCACTTGAAGATACCACTCATGAATGACCATTTAATAATCACTCTCCATCACCAACTCATTGTCAATTAATTTTTACCCAGGTTTTTTTTCCTCTTGAAAAATAAAAATAAAATAAAGCCTCAATAAAAGAATCATTTCCATGTCTTATTTTCACGATCTAGTCACCATTCCGAGTTATCACCTCGACACCGTAACAATATCAGGAAGTACAACTCTTGGAATAATATATCCCCTTTATCAAAATTGAAGATCACAAAGCCTCAATAAAACAATCGTTTACTCGTCTCTACATCCAAATTTCACGATTCAATCATAACTCTTGCGTACCACCCCCTACACTATCTACTCAAAACAATGACTTTGTGTTAAGCCTTATTTAGTGTATAGCTAATGGGCCTATGTTATGAGCCCTATCTCTTTTAGATTATATATATACTTGTTTATACTCTAATACAAAATACACAACACTATTCTCTCAATTATTGAGATGGTATTGGAGCCACTATACTCTAAAATTCTAAAAATCTAATTTTTTTTTTCTAAGCTTCTCTACTCTATCGATTAATCAACAATGGGGGATGACGGTAAGATTGATCCTTCATCTCCTTTCTACCTTGGCTCAGGAGATCAACCCTGCAATTTGATTACTCACGTGATCTTGAAGGGTGATAATTATTTGGCGTGGTTTAGGACAATCAAATTGTCCTTGAAATCTTGACGGAAATTCGGCTTTGTTGATGGCACCATCTCCAAGCCAACTAAGAAAAAGAAACTTCTTGACTGGGAAACAGTCAATTCGATGTTGGTGTTGTGGGTTTTGCGTGCTATAGAACCGAAACTTGCAGCATCCATCCCCTACTTTGAAGAAGCCAGGAAGCTTTGGGATTACTTAGACAAACGTTTTATTGAGGCTAGTGGCCCAAGGCTTCAACAATTGCGTGCGACTATCACTAAATGTAAACAATCGAAGGCTATGTCGATTGAGGAGTACTACACTACGTTAATGGGGTATTTTGACGATCTTCTTCGTTTGAAGCCACCACATGGCTGTGAATATGGTAAATGTGACTGTAATGTGGCCGCAAAGTACGAATTGGATAGGGAGGAGGAAAAATTGCATCAATTTTGGATTGGGATCGATGATGAGAAGTACGCTGTGGTGCGCACCAATTTCCTCTCTCAACAACCTCCTGCTAGCAGCCTTGAGCATGCTTATCAAGATTTGCTACAAGAAGAACGATCCCGCACTATAGCCCAAGCGAAGTCCAAGCCGGATGATGCACAAATTTTTGCTCTTCCCCTTGATCGATGCTCTGTTCCATCGTCGAATCGTGTGGACAAATCAAAGCTCTATTGCTCTCATTGCAAGCGCTCGGGTCATGATAACTAGGGTTGTTTTATACTGCACGGGTACCCTCCGTGGTGTCTCGAAAAATACGGAAAAAAGGGTGGGGCTGCTTCCTCTGGCCAGCAGACCTCTACGGATGCTCCTACTGCCAACAAGCAGCCTGCCCAGCACTCGCAACAACAGCAACAACCCCATCCGAATGCTACTACTACGTCCCTGGTGCGTGCAAATGCAGTGGCTGGCTCGGTTGGTGATACTTCTTCGTCTGAGACTCTTTCGGCTTTGTCTGAGCTACAACCTGAACATGTTCGTATACTTTTAAATATGGTTAATAATCAGCAACAAGATAGGATGAGTGGTTAGTATTTTTCCTTGTCTTGGATTATTAACACCGACGCCTCTCATCATGTGACCGGTGATGAGTCTTGTTTATTAGATGTGCAATCAATCTCACCTTGTCCTGTTGGTCTTCCAGTTGGTGCTCAAGCCTTGGCAACGAAGAAGGGTCGAGTGTCTTTGGCGATACGTTATTCTTGAGCATGTTCTATTTGTTGAAACAATTTAATTTCGGTTTCTAAAATGATTGATGATTCACATTGTTTTGTACGATTCACTGACTCTTTATGTGCTATATAGGACCAACACTTGGGGAGCCTGATTGGAGGCGGTGAACGAATAGATGGACTCTACTATTTCCGGCGAATTCCTAAAGTATGTGCGGTGACAAATCCGGGAAGTTCTACATTCGAGCTCTGGAATCGTCGTATGGGTCATCCGTTGGATAGAATTGTCAAGTTAGTTCCTGCTATTAATCATAGTTCTGGTAGCAAATCTTTGAATAAAGCATGTGATGTTTGTCCACAAGCTAAACAATCTCGGGATAGTTTTCACAATAGTAATAGTAGGGCTAGTCGTATTTTTGAAATGATACACTGTGATTTATAGGGGTTGTATAAGACACCTTCTACTTGTGGTGCTCATTATTTTTTGACTATTGTTGATGATTTTTCAAGCGGTGTTTGGATTTATTTATTGAATGACAAAACTGAAGTTTATTTTTCCTTTTGCTCTTTCTTTGCTATGGTTAAATGTCAATTTGATGTTCATGTTAAATGTGTACGGAGTGATAATGGTTCGGATTTCAAGCCCATGCTCCCGTATTTTGATGAAAATGACATTTTTTTCCAAACCTCTTGTGTTGGCACACCTCAACAAAATGGTCGGGTAGAGTGTACGCATCAACATATTTTAAATGTGAGTCGAGCATGGATAGTTCAAGGCAATTTGCTGATTGATTTTTTGGGGTGAATGTGTTCTTGAGCGGTTTATTTAATTAATCGCACTCCCTCTCATTTACTAGACAATAAAACTCCATTTGAAATTCTCTTTGGCAAAGAACCTAATTTTGATGAATTGCGTGTTTTTAGGTGTATTTGTTTTGCTCATAACCAAAAAGCAAAGGGCAACAAATTCGCTCCTAGGAGTAGGAAGCGTGTGTTTGTGGGTTACCCTCATGGCATAAAGGGTTGGAAGTTGTATGATTTAGAAACCGGTGATATATTTGTCTCTCGTGATGTTAAATTCTATGAGAATGAATTTTCGTTTGTGAATAATGGTGATTCGATTTCTACTCCTGTGGGTAACGAAGGCATGTCTAATGACAATGTTGGGGTGGATCATGATTTTCTAGATGATTTAGAGTATGTTTTGGAGGTTGGTGAGGAGTCTTTTGTGCCCGAAACTTCCCTCACACCCCTGCTACTGCTGCTGCTCCTACGACTACTACTCCTGCTCCTGCTCCTGCTCCTGCTCCTCTTGAAGGCAGCCCAAACCGCAGGCCACCTGCGGCAAATGGCCCTCACCGCAGCCCCGTTGCGGGGTCTTTTGTTGAGGCTACTGCTACTGCCAGCCACTCGGACAATAGCTCCATGGCTGATCCGAGTCTCTCATCTTCTTCCTCTATTGAGTTGGGTTGTGGTCATAGGGAACAACATCCTCCTGGTTGGCATTGTGAATACGTCACACATACTATCTCTCTTCTAAGTCCATCTATCTCTCCAAGTTCACTGTCTACTCCAAGCTCCTCAGGTACTCCTTATCCCTTTGCACATTTTGTGAATTGTAATAATTTTTCCTTACGACACCGTGTGTTTATTGCAGCTGTGGATACGGTGGTTGGCCTCGTAATTTTAACGAGGCAATGCTACATGAGGGGTGGAGAAAGGCTATGCAAAAAGAAATCACAGCTCTGGAAAATAATAAAACATGGGTGATGGAAAAATTACCTACGGGTAAGAAAGCTCTTGGGTGCCGATGGGTGTACAAGGTCAAGCTTAATTCAGATGGCACAATTGAAAGATTAAAGGCTCGTTTCGTTATATTTGGTAATCATCAAGCTGGGGGTATCGATTATAACGAGACATTTGCTCCCGTAGCTAAAATGGTCACTATTCATGCTTTTCTTGCCGTTGCTGCTGCGAAATATTGGGAATTGCACCAAATGGATGTCCATAATGCTTTGCTACACGGTGATCTTGATGAGGAGGTTTATATGAAGCCCCCCCCGGATTTCATGGTACCCAACCCGGCATAGTGTGCCGTCTTCGGAAGTCTTTGTATGGACTATGACAAGCACCCCGTTGCTGGCTTTCTAAACTGACACCTTCTCTGAAAAGGTACAGCTTTCGGCAATCGTACTCTGATTACTCTCTCTTTACTCTGAATAATGGGGGCTATCCATCTTAGTGTTCTGGTGTATGTTGATGATTTGATAATTTCGGGTAATGATTTTACTGCAATTTCAACATTCAAATCATATTTGAGTGCTTATTTTCATACGAAAGATTTGGGTGTGTTGAAGTACTTTCTTGGTATAGAGGTTGCACGGAGTCCGGAGGGCATATTTTTATGTCAACGGAAATATACTCTTAACATTATTGCAGAGTCTGGTTTACTAGGGGCACATTCGGCAGGTACTCCTATTGAGCAGAATCATACTCTGGCCAAATTAGAGACGCCTCTTATTGCTGATCCTGAAATGTATCGTTGTCTTGTGGGTTGTTTGATCTATTTGTCTTTCACTAGACCTGATTTGGCTTACACAGTTCATATCTTATCCCAATTTATGCAACAACCTCGTCAAGATCATTAGGAGGCAACACTTCGTACGGTACGCTACTTGAAAGGTTGTCCGGGTCAAGGGATCCTATTGCGTTTAGATTGCGATCTACATTTGACAGGTTGGTGTGACTCGAATTAGGCTACTTGTCGTTTGACGAGCGTTCGATTTCTGGTTGGTTGGTGTTTCTTGGTGGTTCCCCTATTTCTTGGAAAACTAAGAAGCAACATGCAGTTTCTAAATCTTCTGCGAAAGCAAAGTATCGGTCAATGTCGACTATCACTTCAGAGTTCAAATGGTTGAAGGCACTCCTCGACAGTTTGGGAGTCTCGCATCCACGTGCAATGAGCCTGTTTTGTGACAGTCAATCAGCGTTATATATTGCGCAGAATCCGGTCTTCCACGAGCGCACTAAGCATATTGAGGTTGATTGTCATTATGTTAGGGATGCAATTCAGGAAGGAGTTATTAGTTCGTCTTATGTGAAGACAACTGATCAACTCGTAGATATATTCACTAAGGCCTTAAGCAAGAACCAATTTTTGTATTTACTTGATAAGTTGGGCATTTGTGATTTGTATGCTCCAACTTGAGGGGGGATGTGAAGCCTTATTTAGTGTATAGCTAATGAGTTATGAGCCATAATCTCTTTTAGGTTGTTTATATACTTGTTCATACTTTAATACAAAATACACAACACTACTCTCTCAATGATTGACACTTTGTCAATTTTCACGATCTAGTCACCATTTTATGTTATTATCTCGACACTGTAACAACGTCAGGAAGTATGATTGTTTGAACCCTTTATCAAAATTGAAGATCACAAAACCTCAATATAACCGTCGTTTCTAGACTTTCTACATCCAAATTTCACGATTCAATCAATCACGACTCGTGTGTACCACCCCCCAACACTAACTACTCAAAACAATGACTTTGTCAATATCACCATCCTCCCCTAAACCCAAAAAACAGAAAAAAAGAAAGAGAGACAAATTAGGAGTAGTTTATCTGCCACTCTTTGATAACTCCGCCCTTCTTCTAAAAACCTTCTCAAAACCCCCCCTTTTTCTTCTCTTTCTCACTCAAGCTCAAACTCAAATTTTCCAGAAAAAAATCGCCATTTTCGATCTCTTCATCAACCTTCACAATGCAGTCTTCTCTCTCTCTTCCATCATCTTCTCCAATCACTACCAGATCAAATCACACCTTCGATTTCCCCTCATTTTCAGCTAAACCTCTTAACCTTAATCTCCGATTTTGTGGACTTCGTCGAGAAGCGTTGAGTTTCTCCGTCAAATCTCGCCGAGTTGAGCTTCCGAGTCGTCGAGTTCCGAATTCTATCTCCGCTGCTTTATCTACCAATGGTAGCTCTCCTAAGAGTTTCGATTATGATCTCGTGATTATTGGTGCTGGTGTTGGTGGACATGGTGCCGCGCTTCATGCCGTTGAGAAGGTAGAATTCTTTCGATTTTTGTGTTGTTTTTGGAAATTGATGATATATTGTGCAAATGTTTGTGTCAATTTTGAATTTTGTTGGAATTTGAATGATTAGGGATTGATTTTAGTTGATAATGGTTGTGATTTGCATTGGAATTTGGTAGCGAATGTGCAGATAATGTCGTCGTGTTTTGAGTGAGTTGTTTGCACAATGTAAGGTTTTTGAGTTGGTAGATCATGAAAGTGGAATTGAGGTTTTGTTAAACAGAGCATAATTAGTCATTTTTGTTCCGTTATAAGAAGCAAAATAATGCTTCTTTTGATCCTAAATAAATAAAAATATGGTGCGTTAGACATTTTCCACGCATATAATATTTGTTTGAATCTTGTTAAAATTACATTGGTATATGAGTATAACTGATATTATAAAGTGACTTACTGTTGCATTGATGTGGTAGAAATGTAGACAAATCAAAAGAGATTGTCAATAAAGATTTATACTTTGTATTGGAAGGACCGTAAAGGAGGGATTGAACATTAAAGATTTATACTTTGTGTTGACTAATTGGGCAAAATATTTCTTGGTGATAAGGTATATTGAAGGTGAAAAAGAATGTGGTAGCTATTTATTTATTGTTTTCAGAATTATGAATTACAATTAATAAGCTGATTCAATGGTTCACTTTTGGGAATTAGTTGCAATTGCATGTTGACCATGCCCACTATGACAGATGGAATTGTTTGGTATTTTCTATGTGTACTATTCGCTGTGAAGTAATGGTACCCACATTCCCGCAATTGCTTTTCCTTTCAAAGGGAAGCATCCTAATTGCTACCTTAGAGGTGTGGCTACATGTAAATTTTACCCTCATACCATGGAATGAAATAGCATTGTTTTCAGAATCTTGGCTGTTCTATGAAGACATTGACCTAATGATAGGGTTCTTGTTGATGCAGCAAAGTACTGATGCTCTTACTTATGTGGTTGTAGAAATTTGAATCTTCCTGAAAAATGAAATATGGCTCATCTAGTCGTTTGTAACTCAAATTAGTATATGGCTCATGACCTTTTGGATAAATGTTTGTCTCACTTTATTGGAAGAGATTGTTGAATAATGGAATTGCTAATTTGCAGGGTCTTAAAACGGCGATCATTGAAGGCGATGTGATGGGAGGAACTTGTGTGAACAGAGGTTGTGTCCCTTCTAAAGCATTGTTGGCTGTGAGTGGGAGGATGCGCGAGCTTCAAAATGAACAACACTTGAAATCCTTTGGAATACAGGTACCATTAGTATATTTTGCTTCTCTGTTTCGCTGAAAAGGCATTATGTAGGTTAAGCAATATGCTTCACCCCCCCCCCCCTCTCTCACCGTAGTGGATTGTGGCAAGCCAATTCAATTGGGCAACAGTGTATGGAATCATTAGTGACAACTGGCAAGGCAAAGGAGAATATGGGTCAAATAATTACACTTATATAACTCTTCCAACCATAGAAATGATAGAATATGCATACATTTGGGGGTTTGAACTCCCTACTTCTTGGTTGGAGGAATGGGAGAGTGTACATTGGAGTCTTATATAATGTTTTGTTGTCCAAGTGGGTTGCTAGTGCTCAGAGATAACTACTTTGCGATTTTTTTTTTAAAGTTAAGGATTCTAATTATTACTTATTGTAATAAATCTTCAACCTATCCGACTGTTATATCTTTCTCCTTTTATCCTATATACTGGTATTTCATTCGAACAAAAATTATGGCCATCACCTGATTAAAATTATTTATTAGATAGTGGACTAGGTATTTGGTAAGAGTTGATTATGTGCTCCTGGGCTTCTGGCCTACTGTGTCTTGTCAGAATACAATTGCTCAAATGTAAACGGTAGTTGACTGGCCACTTTGTTGAAACTGCTTGGAATTTTTTTTTGTTGCTTCTCTAGCCATAACTTCACTCTGATGATAGCTTTGTCTTGTCGATTGCTGTCTCTCAGTCCTGGAATTTAGTTTCCAGTTTTTTAACAGAAAGAACTATTATACCTGTGTCTGTTAATACACAAACCATTTATTGATTTGGGTGTAGCCATGTAGCTATACTGCAAGACACATTTTTTGCCTAAAAATCTTGTTGGAACCATGGATAAGAAATTTTTGCAAGACCCTTTTTTAGTTACTTCTCTCTTTCATTGGGATTTGAAACAGGTTGGAGCTGCTAATTATGATAGACAGGGAGTGGCTGATCATGCAACCAATCTCGCTTCTAAAATTCGTGGTAATCTGACTAATTCACTTAAGGCGCTTGGTGTGGATATACTGACAGGCTTTGGTACAATTCTGGTGAGTCATGACCCTGCCATATCATGTTGATTTGCTTTATTTGTTTGGCCTCTGCTTCTGGGTATTGCAAGCTATTTGAGAAGTAAAAAGGAAAAGAAAAGCTTGACATTGTTTAGAAATTAGTATGCCTTTACTTGCTGTATATGTTTGCTCATATTTAGTATGGGTGCTAATCATCGTTATGTGTTTTTCAGGGTCCGCAAAAGGTGAAATTCGGTAAAGATAACATTGTAACTGCAAAGGATATAATTATTGCCACTGGTTCAGTTCCTTTTGTTCCCAAAGGCATTGAAGTTGATGGTAAATGCTTTTCTACCAAAATCTTTTAGCTTAATTGCCCCCCCGGGCCCACACCCTTAATTAGATCCCCTGACATTTAGATTTCTGTTTATATATCGGGCAATCATCTTACATCAGATTACAGTGACTAAATTAAACATTATTCCAAAAATGTAACTTGTGTAGTTACTTTGAAGTAGTGGCTCAATCAGTTCCCCATTGTAGAAAGGCTCGGACTGATATAGCTCATGTTCCATTCCAAGGGTAAGGTTACATCATATGTACTTACAACCCCTGTATTTCTTTCAAGATCTCTGGTTTGACTTTCAGGTTAAGTTTTGGACCCTTTACCGGTGACTAAGTTGATATTAAGGAATTTAGTATGGTAGTTTGCAGTTTTACCCTTTGAAGAGTCTAGCAAATGGCAAGTTATTAGTAGTTCTGATTATGTATGATGTCTAATCAAGTGATGAATGGGAATTTTTGTACTTCCTCTGTTCGTATTTTAGTTGACACGTTTATTTTATCACTTTTGCCAATGCATAACCATAATATTCAATATATCTAGTTATCAATAAATAAATATTATAAAAAAAGTTGATATTTTGAAAATATTCATTGAGACGAATTTAACAGGTTTCTACATGACTATATTTATCATAAATTAAATCACTAAAGCTAGTCAAGCTAGAGTTTGTGAATAGTGTAAAAAGTCAAAATGTGTCAATATTACTTGTAATTTGGTGCATTTTCTTTTTGGTTGAAACAATAATTCTTCACTCCAAAATTCTAATGATTGTATCCTGGCATTGTAGGAAAGACTGTTATTACCAGTGATCATGCACTAAAGTTGGAGTCTGTGCCTGACTGGATAGCAATTGTGGGAAGTGGCTACATTGGTCTTGAATTCAGTGATGTCTATACAGCCCTTGGAAGTGAGGTAGCAATTACTACTAATCATCTTTTTCAGCTTATATGTCTCATACTAGCTATTGCTATCTCATCTGTCTAGTGGGGGAAGGAAAAAAACTCTTATCTTTTTGGTTTTTGATGTTTACTAGTTTTTCTCATCCCAACTTTTCCACATGATCTTTTTTGGGGTCCTGCTAGTGTTGATTCTGTTGATGTCTATGGTCACCTAATTTTTGGTAGGGTATGTCTGTTCATGGTATTAAGTTATCTCAACCTATGTGTTGCACAGGTCACATTCATCGAAGCTCTAGATCAGTTAATGCCTGGATTTGACCCAGAGGTTTCAAAATTAGCCCAAAGAATACTGATAAATCCCAGGAAAATTGATTATCACACCGGTGTTTTTGCAACAAAGGTAATTTACATGTTATTTATTGCCGAATTTGTGGTTAGTCTGAAACAATAAGAAAACTAATTTATGAAATATGATATTATACAGATCACTCCCGCAAAGGATGGCAAACCAGTCACCATAGAGCTTACTGATGCCAAAACCAAGGCACCCAAGGAAACTTTGGAGGTAAAGCTTGTTAAAGTTGAACAAAAGGGGGAAGGGGGGAGGGGAAGTATAAAGTTATATGAGTTTATGGCATTTCTATTGTCTAAGTGAATGTTGTTTCTGTTTGGTCTTTGTATGGCTGAACTGGATAGCTCCAACAATTTTAAATGTTTTGGTATTATTATAATTCGCTGTCTACTTAAATGGGATAGCAAAGTCTACACAAGCTCAGTATTCTAGTTACTTGACCCTGCATGAAAGATTGTTGACATCTGGCAAATTTTGTTCTGTAATAGGTTGATGCAGCACTGATTGCAACTGGAAGAGCACCTTACACCCAGAATCTTGGTTTAGAAAGTGTATGTTATCCAAGCCAATTTTACATTGTGATTAACAGTATGAACATCTCCTGTTGCATTATGGACTCTGAATTGAATATTCTCTGCAGATCAATGTTGCTACTCAGCGAGGTTTTGTTCCTGTTGATGAGCGCATGCGTGTTATAGATGCAAATGGCAAGCTAGTATGTCCGACAGTGCTTTCCCTGTGGGCTTTCTCTAGTTACAACTTGCAAGAGCTAAATCTTCAAACATGTTTTTTGGTTTCAGGTGCCTAACTTGTACTGCATTGGTGATGCAAATGGAAAAATGATGTTGGCTCATGCAGCTAGTGCTCAAGGAATCTCAGGTAGTTATTACACGTTGACCAGTATAATATGCATATATTGATATTCTAGTATATTCTCTTTTCTGTCACTCAAAATTCAATTCCATTTTCCGCACTTGGATCAACTCTATGCTTTCTCATTACAGTTGTTGAACAAGTCACTGGAAGAGATCATATTCTCAATCATTTAAGTATTCCAGCTGCATGCTTTACTCATCCAGAGATTAGCATGGTTGGATTAACTGAGGTAAATTTTTATTGTTCGTGAAATGTGTATAGTATGCTAGTAGCATGTAGTTTGCTTGTACTTGAATGCTTTAACAGTGATGGACAATTATTCCATAAACTATAATTAGTGAGAAGCTAGAATGTAGCTCGTACCATAGTCAAAGTGATGCTATCAGAGATAATAGCATAACACTTCTACGTTTTAAATTAGCCTTTGAAAGTAGAGATAAATTTGTCGATTGATGTTTGTGTAATGTGTTAATTGAGGAAATGAATTTCAAGCTTGAGAGGGCTTCATTGGATTTCCAGGCGGCAGCTTCTTTTTGTAAATTACTCCCTTTGTCTCAGGATAGTTTGAACACTTTCCATTTATATTTGTTCCCAAATAGTTTTTACACTTGTATTTTTGGTATGGTCCTTTTATTATCTCGTATTTTCTACCCTTTTTTGGACCCATTGTCTTCCTTTACATCTTTGCTATTATTATAACAAAATATTGTCTCCAATCACACCTCCAATTTTCCATGTAAATAGTTATAGAAGAGTAATCACAACTACTCTCTTAAATCTATGTGCATTGATAACGTTTAGACTATTCTGGGACTGAGGGAATTTATATGACAGATTAAAGGTTCGATTGGTTTTCGTAATCAATATCCAAGTCAAACCATTTTTATCTAAGCTGATTCAATCTGCTTTCTAGTGGCAGCCTGAAGCTATAACATGTTTTTGGAACCAAAAATTGCATAATTTGAACTGCAGGTTATTGTTTTGTGATTGTATTTGATGGAGATGGAGGCATTCCTTAAGTATGTAATTAATATTTTATTGAAACGCCACTCCTTGTAGATCTATGTTATATAAGCTATGACTATGTTTTAAGTTCTCCATTTTAGATAATTATGTACAATTCTGCAGCCCCAAGCCAGGGAGAAAGCTGAGAAGGAGGGATTTGAAGTGAGTGTGGCAAAGACAAGTTTCAAGGCCAACTCAAAGGCATTGGCAGAAAATGAAGCGGAAGGACTTGCTAAGGTTGGAATCCTTAATCCTCGTATACTTGAAAACTTTTTTGTGGATTTATTTTCTCATTTGTTGAACATGTCCCGTGTATACAGTTTGATTTTTTGGTCAGTCTTCTGACCAAAATAATCACTCACATAGTCCGGTCCAGGGTCCACTTTGAGAGAAAGCTATTTGGTCTGTACTGAACTTGCCTAAAGAACTACTTTAGTGGATATAAAATTGATACAATATGAACAAAAATCAAATTATCTGTAGCCTCAATGAGTCAGTTTGCAGCAGAACTGATATTTAATCTAACAATATTTTATTTACTTCCTAAAGAAGAAGTATTTTTTTTTTGTTGATATAAAGTCACACTTAAAACAATTCTCTCCCATAGTAGAACTGATATTAATTCTAACAATTCTCTCATTCTTTTGTGACATGTTGCAGCTGATATACAGACCTGACAATGGGGAGATCCTTGGAGTTCATATATTTGGATTGCATGCAGCAGACCTCATCCATGAAGCATCAAATGCAATTGCAATGGGCACCCCTATTCAGGTATCTTTCTGTTCTCAGCAAAGCTGGGTGGGCCATTCTAGTGCAATTTGGTTGCATGATTCGTTTGGTTAAGCACATTTGATATGTATGCTCTGGTCTGTTGAAATAGTTGTGACATCAATTGAATTTCTGTAAAATACAGGACTTAAAGCTTGCTGTTCATGCACACCCAACACTATCTGAAGTATTAGATGAGCTATATAAAGCAGCTAAGGTAAGATCTAATCTATGTCTAGTGAAAACCAACCAATGCACTCTTTTTGAAATGCGTTCAAAAATCAGAACAACTTAGGACTTGTTTCTAATCTGCAGTTAATTAGATATTCATCCATTCTGGCTCAGGTTAATGCTCAAGTTTCTAGTCCAGCTAAAGTGCCCATTGCAGTCTGAACCTGGTGAAGCATTATGCTACAGAAAGTTTTAAAGGCAATAGCTTGTATGAGGATTGTTCAGAGAAAGCACAAGACACCCAACAAAGAGTGACAATGCTTTTCGCCCCAGTAGTCTGGCAGTGAAAACAGCCCTTCAACGTACTATTGCATCTGCTCTGATTACAAGTTTCAGCGCCTGGCTGTATTGGGTGTTTTAATTTGCTGCTCAATTTCTTGCAAGAACACTTGCATATAGCTGCGCAATTGGAATGATTTTTTTTAGTTCGTTAAAATTTCGAATTACCTACGCCATTAGATATAGCATTTTAGTTCTTTATTTAATTCATATTTATAGCAAAAGCTTTCATAGGTTAAGCTTTCAATACATCCTTAGATTTATTTTTTATTCATTCCCTTCTCCGTACCCTTTATCTTCTGTTGACTTGATGGGTGTCCATAGATCACGTCCAAAGGACTCCAACTCCAATCCCTTTTTTTTTTACCAGTTGTTTTAGTGAAATTTTATTAGGGTTTTTTTTTTTTTTTTTTTCTTTTTTTTTTTTTTGACACAAAATTTTAGATGTGTTCTGATCTAACAAAATTTTGATCGTATTTTTACACTGCATATAAAAATAACCACTACTCCGTAATAAACAAGATAATTTGAATTTTGTATCGATGTGTATTTATCAGTTTGAACACTTTCTATACAGGGAAAAAAAAAAACATAATATATACATCACTGTTTTCATTACTTTAAAGTTAAGGCATCACCCCTCTCACATTCAACACAAACGAAGCGATAATTAAAGAAATTTATCATTAAGTAAACATATTTTGTTTTGATTTCGACAATAAGTTTCCGATGTAAGATGAAGAAATGTGTTCAAGTTCGACATACAAAAGATGATACATATGGAGTAAATTCCAACAGATTTTCAAGGCTAAATAGAAGGGTATTTGTGAATCACATTATAATGATTAGCAAATAACCAATCAAAATTCAATTGCCCAACATAGATGTACGACCACTATTTCATTTCAACCTTAATAGCCAAACATATTGTTATTTGTTAGAAAGAGACGGGGTAAAACACAAGACAAGGATACGAAAGTGGATGATTCATTTTTATTTTTTTTCTATCCCTTGTTTGAAATGGTAGTGGAAAATTGGAAATATATAAAAGATAAAACAACAAAAGTTGAGTACTATATTGACTGTTTCTAAATTGAACTATTTCTTTTTTAAAATAGAATGCCTTTTTTTTCCCTTAATCTCCTTGCGACTGATAATACCCAACTCCAAATTTCTTAGATCTTCATTTCCCTCTTCAATCCTTCATTATTGTATATCGCCCTCACAGACCGATTTTCTCTCCATCCCTACAAAGCACTGTCTTCAACCATAACAATTCACACTACCAAGAGGGAGATGATATCTATAATACCAACGTAAAAAATAATTGGCATGAAAGGACATGTTGGACTACCAACATCGTATGATTCACACCACCTCAAACTAGAGATCACAATTCAATCGAGTTCAATTTGAATCTAACCCGATCTGAAGAAAAATTAATCCGATCCAAATCCGATAAAATAGATTCAAATCCGAACTTGTATAGGAGGTGCATCGGACTTGGACCCTACCGCAAAGTCCGATCCGATCAGAGTCCGAGTATGAGGAGTAGCAAATTTTTGTTATGCAACTTACTTAATAATTTAAATATGTTATATTTAGACTTTATACCCTATATTTTTTCTAATTTTTACGCCCCCCAATATGATATAAGAAACAAATATTTATTAGGGATAATACAAGCAATTCGAATCATTCAAAGGTCCGAAAATACAGACCGGATTCGGATCCAAAAATTACGAGTCAGATCAGACTCGGATTTGGATCCGAGTCCAGGGTCCTTTTACTAAAGGGATCGGATTCAAATTTAGCTGCATCCACCCGAATCCGATCCGTTGCCATTCCTACCTTAGACCATCACACATCATCTTCTGCCTCCCCCTTCCCCAAATGAGAAAATGCAAAAAAAAATAAAAAAAAAATAATTAACCATTACTAAAAAGCAGTCAATTTTGCTTGATAATTGCTCAGAGATGGGAGACATTAAGAACAAATTGAGCAGGAATATACTTGTAAAACTGTATTCAAATGAGCAGGATCAGAAGCATCTAATGTACTCCATAAGAAAGAGCTTAACAACATTGTGAAACATTGTGTTACCCAACTTATGACTAATGCCACCATTGCAGTTAACAGTCACTGCAGAACTTAAGGACATTCAAATCACTGCTTACAATCACCCGTATAACCGCATAAGTAGCACAGTAATTTAAGTCACTAACAAGCGTGACGGAATCACAGATACAGTCACCACATAGAAAAACTAGGTGATTCAGGGCAACGATTGATCCATTGCAGACACTCTACACTCCTGAAGTTTTGCACCGCAATTCCAGTGATTACGAATGTTAATCAGCTTGAACAAGCAATTTCCAAAATGACTTCTAAAATCCCAATCAAGTTCCACTGCCAAAATTTTTGGCAACAGCATCAAACTAAAAAAAACGTACTCGATTACTCTAAGCGTCACTATTATCACCAATCTCTATTCGCCCATAGTCTTGGAACAGAATTAGCAACCAACAAGGAATAAGCATCCCAAATCACCTCATTCTAAAATCCACATTTCCAAAGTGAACACTAAATACATTGTTCCCAATCACTGATTCAGACTCGACCACAATCCATACATTGTTCCCCAAGTGCCCCAAAACCACCAAATTTCCTATAATCAACCAATACTTCAGCTAATAATATGACTAATCACACTAGACTGAACACATAACCAAATTTCCTATAATCAACCGATATACATACATAGCTCCCAAGCAGCCCAAGTTATAATTAACAAACAAATAAATCAACTACAATATAATAGTATCATCCACAATCATTCGAAAAAATCAACAATTATGAAATAAAGTGGCAAACTACTCAATGAGGTAATCCATAATAACTATTCGCACTAAACTGCAAATACAATATAGTCTGAAATCTCCATTAAAATTAACAAAACCAAAGTAGGCAATTCTTCTTTCATCACAAGGACAAAACTTTAGATAAATTTAAAATCTGGGTACAAAAAAACCCTAACCATCATTCATTAACAGCAAAAAAAAAAAAAGAACTTCCCTAATATAATGAACGAAACATCTATTCTTCCTCAGTAGCAACCTCGTCGCTCTTCTTGTTGTGCTTCCTTGCGTACCTCTGGTTCCTCAAGAACTTTGGGTCCATCTTCAACATTACCCAGAAAAAAAAGTTGAAAAAATCAGCAAAATTAATCGAAAAAATTGCATAAATTCTAATAATTGAAAATTTAGGGAAATTTAACCAAGAAATAGCTTACCCCTTTGGTGGATTGGTGACGATGACGGCGAGGCTTCTTGATTCCATTCTTGTGGGCCTTGTAAGACTGGTTGTGAGCAGTGTGATTCTTCGACTTGGCCATTTTTGAGTTCTGCAAACACCTGATCATAAATCAAAATTACGCCATTAAAATCGAATTACAAGCAGGAAAAATGATGGAAAATCGAGGAGGAAGATGATGAAAGAGAGAGGAAAGAGGAGAGAGAAACCTGCAAACAGAGAGGTTTGTGTCGCAGCAGCTAGGGTTTGCTGAGAGATTGGAAATGTGGAAGTGAAAGGGGTTCTTTTTATTTGAAACCCTAATTTTGATGGCTGCTTTTTTAATTGAAAGGATGATTTTGATATTGGGCTCATTTCAATTTTCTTCTGTTGGGCCGTATTATTATCATATTGTAAGGCCAATACATAATCCAAACTCCTTTTGCCCCCTTTCTACAATGAGATATTGAACCCGGTTTTACGTCGGTGACAATTAATGACTTGACTCGAAATCGACTTAAAGTGAGTAAGAGAAACTTGAACTCTACTTGGATTGAACTTGAACAACTTGAATAATTAAGTTGATTTGACTAAAATGTTAAACTTTCTTTTAAAATAAAGATACCTTCATCATGAGAAATATGTAATGAATTAAGAAACAACTTTGGGAGGTAAATTAGAGTTATTATACAAAACAATATCTAGATTAAAAATAAAAATAAAATAAATAAAAAAAAAAAGTGATCATTGTTAACAGTCCTGTGCTGTAGATATGCTATAGATATGATGTGTTCAACATTAGAATTATCGAAGTGTTGAAGAAGGGAGTAAATATGTGTAATTATGCGATCAATCTACCACAAGCTGCCTATGAACTTTGCATTATGAAGAGGTGCTACTTCAACAATAATTGATATTGTGTTGCATGTATTATAATAATGTTGTTGTTGTCTATCTTACAGGATAGCGCGTCCTATTTCCAAATTACCATGAACACAAAGTGGGCCTCCAAGGTGAAATTGAATTGAGGATGAGATAAGTGATTGGATCTTATAAATGGAGACTTGTTAAAAATCCATGTGAGTTTTGTATTTGTCGCATACTCAGCGCAAATTGCACTTTGTGCTAGGTCTTGTAAATGTTTAAATTGATTTCATTATAAATTTATAATATAACATCATCGTGTTCATTTCAAAAGATATAACACAAGAAACTAGATTTTTCTTATCGCGACCTTGGATGAAAGCTAACAAACAAAACCCAACTTGCAACCTACTTGATGACACATGGGGGAAACGCTTAGTACCCATGTTGATGCAAAGGTTAAGACTATGAATTAGACAAATATTTCTTAAAGTATGAATTTCATATTATACTTTCACCATTTTTTAAAGTGCAACACTTCCTATTATCGAGTAATAATCGACCATTTTTTACTTACAACACTGAACACTCCCTACTATGGAAGTAATGTACATTGAGCTATTATATCTATCTCCTTTATTGGTTATCGCTCATCCGTTTTCATTAGCTTATACAGGGCAGACCTTAGTTGAGATTGGCATGGGCTGACCGCCCCCCTCCCCTTGTTTTAAAGTCATTTAATAGAATACATATGTTGCCATTAATAACTGTAGAAAGAAATTTGTGGCATAGTGGTTGGATCCCTAGTAGGCTCCAAAATTTCCTAGGTTTTGTGCAGTTGAGGAAATGTGACTGTGAGTTGAGAGTTTTAACACGACTGGGTAGCTAGAGAACGTGAACAACGAGGTCATATATAGTACATACAAAAATGAAAAATCACAGCACCAAATAAATAAAATAAAATAAAAAACAAAGACCATAATAATATTCTCAAACCTAACCACTTTCACTCTATTTTTCTTTTCCTTCCTTTCTTGTAGATCTCCGTCAATAATACCCACCTAAAATTTCACATTTTCTTATTTTTCTTTAAATCAAATCAAATCTCACTACAAAACGCAGCTCCTCAAATTTCAATCAAAACCCCCAATTTTATAAAAAATGTTTCTTTTTGATTGGTTTTATGGAATTCTTGCATCATTGGGGTTATG